TATGCTATTTTGCATCATGACCACAATTGCGATCCTTTGTCTGTTGTTGTAATCGACCAACCGATTCTGAGTGCTCGACTATCGTTCCTAGGCTGTTAAGTCGATAATCATCGGTCAGGAACCAGGTTTCGTGCTTTCTTAGACCAATTCCTTTCTACTATCAACCTAGTGTCCATTTCTATTGTTGTATTTGTTGCATCAGTTATACATGGGTACAAGAAAGTAGTAGACGTACCCAGCTAAGGTGAATTATTGTTATTTCTCTCGTATTTACATGTTTGTTTGCTTATTTGTAATGACCGAAAGCCAATGTGTGTACATTATCATCACAAATCCATCTATTGTTGTCTATGCAAGTCATAAGTGTCTTTGGTAATGAGAGAACATGCATTATTCCATTCTCATACAAGATTCACCTATCATTGGCACATTCGATTGGATCAATCCTTCCAAGTTCAGAAATCCATTTATCACTTCCATCACTGTTCTATTCTAACCTAATCATGTCATGTTCAATATTGTGGACTCAATCAATGTGGTGACAAACACCCATGGTGAAGAGGTAACGATCTCGCCTGGTTATTATACACTGAGTGAAATCATTGCCATTCTGAACATCATGATTAATAATACTACATTCTCAATTTCCACAATGGATACAAGTTATGAGTGTATTTGGATCCAGTCTCCATACGCTATCGATTTCACGAAATATATATGATATCGAAACGGTCATCACAATGTTGAATGCGAGTGATGCTCTATTTGAAATAGTGTATAGTGGAGAAAATGCATTTCGAGTCTATAACCAGTTTGTGATTCTTCCTCTGATACAACTTATTCATTCCTTGAATAAAGCGATTCATTTATCGAGGTGTGTGGGGAGCATGAATGAGATCAAGGAACTATGGAAACCAGCAAAACGAAGAGGTGCAACTCGAGTGATCATCAGTGGATTCAAACGGAACATATGTTTCATCGATCTTATCGACTTCTCTTCCAAACAACACAAATCGATACAGGAAGTATTAGGAACACAAAAGAGTACAGGATTCTACAAGAATCATGGATACAAATATGTCCTTGTATGTATTGATGGATATTCGAAATACCTGATGACTCAGAAACTGAAAAGCAAGAATGCTACAGAAGTCACTATGCAATGAAGGACATCATTCAAACATATGGTGAATCATCAAAGCATATTTGCTCGGATCGAGGTACCGAATTCACCAATGCCATCTTTCGTACCAACATCTTGAACAAGTATGACATCACCATGTATCACATGGATTCAGCGAATAAGGCAGTACTAGCTGAACGAACAATTCGAGATATCAAGGAACACATCATGGTTCCTTCATTCCATTCAATCAATCAATCGAAAGGTGTATGGTTCGATTTGATTGATTGTGCAGTTCGTATACATAATGGAAGGAAGAACAGAGACATCGGATATACACCCAATGACATTTGGAACAACGATATCTTGTACACGGAGAAGACAGAACCATCCAACATGACAGCGAAGGACACGACGCCTCAATTCGATGTGGGTGATTATGTTGGAGTGACACGAAGACCTCGCATTCTGGAAAAGCGATCATTGACAAGCAAATGGTCTCAGGACTTGGTTGAAGTTGTTGACATTGACGATCGATTCATGCCATTGATGTACGAAGTGAAGAATGTGGAAAGCGATAGTACATAGAAGTGTTATCACTGGGAACTGCTGGCTAGCAAATGCAAACCACAACCAGCACCACCCATTACTCGATCCAAGAGTGGTAAAGAACCCAATGCATTGAGAGAGGCAGCAAGATCACATCGACCCATTACGAGCACCCAGAAGCAGAAATAACAACAACAACCTCGCTCAAGTATTCGAAAACGATCGTGATGCTCTTCACATCTCCTAGACATACAAGAGAAGGGATATTCGTGAATGCAGAGATCGTATGACTCTCACTTGTCCATTCGATTCCATTTATCAGTTTGGTATGGGAAAGGGGCACAAGATTGTTGAGTGTATCGATGAATGGTACATCGAACAATCACGCACTATCCATTGAAACACTCACCTTGTATCCCTTATCCACAACCGATTCGATGGAATCACAATGTTTGAATAGGGCATCATTCTCATTGTAACATGGAATCGATTTGATTATGAGATATAAAGCCGAAGATAATTCGAATTGGCATTGATTATTGAATGGTTGAGTGGATGTGGGTTTATGTTCAAACAGTGTGGCATTATTGACTTTCACAAAACAACCAGAATGTATCGTCCATGAATATTGATGAACGTCATCCACTGTCTCACGCACGAGGACATGTTTGCCATCGTTCTCTGGCATATTGATGAGCATGTTATCGAGCTTCTTGAACGTGTAATTGTTTGGATTGCTGCTGAATATGTACAACATTGATTAATTCAATTTACTTTGGTTGATTTGGTTCATAGTGTTTGGCATACACACCCTTGAGACAAGCTCCATTCATATTCGAATATGTGAACATGTTGAATGAGAAACGAGCCAAATCCAAGACCATTGTGGAGAAGAACCTATACAGTTATTGGCAAACTCGGCATATGGCAAATTGGTGGAAACTGGGCTGAATCGAATGAAAGTAAAGTTCACCACCACAGGGAATGAATGCGAAGCTATCATCTAAAAGCATGGGTACGATATGACCGTAGGGACTACCATGAATTTTTAGTATCTGGATGGTATCAAACTGAATACAGAGGTGAGGAAAGTGGTGAAACCATTCGTCATCAGATTTGCCATTCTCGACATGTCCAAACACATCATCTACGATTTCTACTACAATGTGTTCAAGAACACATTCGATAACATTAGGCTGTTGGGTCAGAACACAGGCTCGTTCATCGTGCAGTTAAACGATCAAGGGAACAACATTCACAAGATGTGTGACATGTACAAGTCGTTCGATTTCTCGGAGTTGGATAATACGAGCTATTTCTGTGGACAACTTGTGACTATTACGATCAGAAAGTGGACAAGAGAAAGTTCCCTTCGTTGTCATCATTTCTCAACTTCAACAAGAAACTAGAGGAACCCATTTTGAAGGATGAACACAATGTCCATCGTATCACAGAGTTTGTGGGACTCAGATCGAAGATATTGTTGTCTGATTGATTAGAAGCAAGTGATACACAATGTAGTAAATGGTGTTCCATGTAATGTGGCAATTGATGGTGAGAAAATGCGTGTGAAGAACACCGATTTGTACAAGCGTGTACTTGAGGCAGAGAGGAAGGGAGATGCAGTGAGCGAAAATACATTCAAACCCATCAACAACCAAGCATTCACAATTACCATCATGGAGCTTACCGAAACACTCAAAACGTACACAGGTAACGAAAGATGAATCTTAGACGATAATGTGCATACACTAAAAATCGTGCATTATCATTTGTCTGACATGAAAAACGAGTTGTCTTTCCTTTGGTCAGAACAATACAGTAATGGAAGTGATGAAGGGGTTCCGATACTTGTAAGGGTTGATCCACGAGTACTTACCGTTACTAAATAAACCTTGGATGAGCATTCAATAGTACATGGCTTACCTCACCTTACCATAAACAGCTAAGGTAAGCTTAATGTAATATAGTCAACATTTCACACCACATTTCCAATAATGAACAAAAATACTAGTTCTCTAAGGTCAGCAACAGCGATAAAAACTAAACAAATAATTAAAGTCAACTTCGAGCTGTAGTCTCGCATCTGACGGAGTCTGAGAAAAAAGTCTAACCACAAACCACCCTTAATAAACTAACAACATTAACACACTATCAACATCCATACGAAACTAACAAATTATGCACTCATTCAGTGAATTGATTTGTTGATAAAAGAAAAAGAGGAATGATAAGAAAAGAAATGGGTAGTATTGAAATGGGGTGTGAGTGAATGATGATAAGAATGTGATGTTTAAATAGGTTAGTGAAGACCAATATAATGAGAACGGCCATATCTGATGGAAAGCGCCCTAACCCGTCCGATCTAGGAAGCTAAGTCATCACGAGTCGAGTTAGTACCAGTGTGGGTGACTCGCTGAGAAGTCTCGATGCTGTTCTTTTACTATTCTATTTTATTTATTAAAACTCGTATCATTTTTACTATATATTCATGGTATATTATGTATTTTTATTAATTTCTTGGTCCCTTTCGGGAATATAATGATTTGTAATGATGTAGGATATTGTAGTTTTGTATTTTACATGGTATATCAAGTTATTATGTCGAATTTGTATTATTAATTTGAAATTGTTTTTAAATGCCGTTTTTCATTCACTGAATCAAGATATACACTTATTTGAATTGCTTTGTTTTTAACTTGAAGTTTGGTATGGGCTTATCGTGTTCGATTTAATCAATATAGAATTAGTTATAACAAGATTGATTATTAAGCTCGATATTGTAACGACTTCATTCCAGTTTTATTGGTTATGAATACTACTTTAATTCAAGGGTATTGTATGTGTTGCACGAATCTATTAATTAAGGTAATAATTGCTTTTATGTAAATTTACTGGGTTTGATCAATTTGCTTGTTGCATATACTTAATGATAAGTAGATTTCGCAACACTTCATATCATGTTTGCTACAGAGACTTGTTACAACATGTATCAATTAATTTTTCTTTTTGTGATATTTCTGTTGTCAAACTACAGTGACACAATAGTGTTCACAACAGTCTGTGATTATTAAACAAGTTTATCATTAAAATTTCCGCATTTTATTCATTGTACTATCCATTCAATGTCGATTCATCGTATTTTCATTGATATATGTGTCATATTGCTGGTTCAAGTATTGGCTTGATTATCAACAATGTCATGGAATCACTGTACTTGCAGCTGTCCATTTTCGTATTACTGGTTTATTCAGTTTCCAAATTATTGTAGGTTGCATAGTTTTATTTGATAAGAGTATATCTCTAACCTCTTGTCTGTAGAATACTCATGTCTGAAGAATCACAGAAAGCGCACAGTTCGATGACATCTTCTCTCCGAAAGCAAAGAGAGGAGCTTATTGTCGAGAGAAAGTCTCTGATTGTGTTTTTTGTGTCCTTGTCTTAATTGGTGTAGAGTGAGCTAAAAATCTATGACTCTGCATTCAAATCAGCAGTAGCATCATGTCCACCGAAGGAGTCCGGAAACCTTGAGGATTTGGAGGAGAGAATCGAGACGGTGGAAGAAGAACTGGAAGTGGGAAGTCGTGATGCGAAAGAAGAGAGAGCTGTAAGCAGTCGGGACTTTTCTTTCATCTCTCTAGCTAAAACGTGACTTGTTAAAGCTGAAGCAGTCTTATGACAGAGTCATGCAATACATTGCTGCTTCCCGTGAAATTGATATCATTCGAAACGTATTTGTTGTGTGAGTGTCTAATGCGCAGAGACGGAGTGAGAAGTCAAAGAGAGTCGATGAACTGAGCAAGAAACTGGATGAGCTGGCCGAGACAGTGGAGATTGAAGAGACCTTGTCTCGTATTGAGTCGAGCAGTGGTAAGAAGGTATGTTGGACTGCGATGTTTTTTAAACTGTATAGTTAACAAAGAGCGATATCTCAAAGGAGGAAGTGAAGGTTCCCAAGGAAAGCATCGGCCGATTGGTCGGTAAAAATGGTTCAAATGTTTAGGCACGGGAGCGTGTTGATGGGTAGATTCAGAAGCTGGAGAAGCAGTTCTCTGTGCGAATCATGACGAATGAGGAAGTGTTCACTGTGCTGGGCGAGCTGGCGAACGTGAAGCGATGCATCGCCGAACTCACGGACATGGCGAACGAGAAGGAAGTGACGATCCCTCTCTCCACAATGCAGATTCGTGCCTTGTTGGCCCATGATCACAGCTATCGCCGATCCATCGAGAACTCTTGCCGCGTCTTCATGACTCTGAAAGATGCCGAAGTCACGATTCGAGGTGGCCAGAATGCTGTGAAGAACGCCGAACGCGCATTGAATGATCTGATGAAGAGTACTGGGACGAGCCCTAGCCACGCTGATCCATAGAGCAGTCGAGCTTCCCCATTACGCCCTTCCTGCGCAGCGTGCTTGTCAACCAAAAGATGGAGAAGTTCCTCGCGTTGCAGAAGGAGTGTCCCGCGTATTTGACGTTTACCCCGGAGTCCGACGCTCTGCTGATTCTGGGAACCGTGCAGGATCAGCGCGAATCTCTCGTAGAAGTGAATGCGCGATGCGAGTGTAGGCGAAGCTGCAGGAATTCGCGCAGAGCCACGTGGAGGTGGAGGAGAAGATGCCTTGCGAGAATCTGTTCACTCGCTTCCTGCTTCAGAACAAAGCGGAGCGCATGCAGCAGACGCAGCGCCAGTTCAACGTCCGTCTCCAGGCGTCGAACGGCAGCCTGGTCGTGAAGGGAGAGAAGGACGCCGTGGCCCAGGCGATCGCGAAGGTGGAGGCGCTGCGTGCCGAGCTGGCGTCGCGCACGATCGAGATGGCGGTGAACGGCGCGCAGATCGACATGCTGCTGAACCAGAAGGCGGCGGTGGTGCAGGCGCTGGAGCAGGAGTTCGGGTGCCTGATCTCGGTGGAGAGCGCAAAGGGATCGATGAAGGTGGTGGTGGATGAGGCTCGTCGCGAGGAAACCGTGGAGGCGATCAACGCGAAGCTCGCGACAGTGTGCACGGAGCGCGTGGAGATCCCGGAGTGTCTGCTGGCGCTGTTCGTGGGTCCGAAGGGAAGCAACATCAACGCGATGCGCCAGGCGCACGACACCAAAGCCGAGCTCGCGAAGGGCGTGCTGGAGATTAGCGGCAAGGAGGAGAACGTGGCGGCGATGAAGAAGGCCGTCGAGGAGTGGCTGGAGCAGCACACGATCGCGGAGATCCCCGCGGAGCGCCAGTTGGCGCGCGAGGCGCTGATCGGAGAGAAGGGCGCGAAGATCCAGTCGCTGCGAAAGGAGCTGGCGGTGGAGATCCAAATCGAAGAAGGCAAGGTGGTGGTGATCGGCGCGCCGGAGAACGTGGAGAAGGCCGTGGCCACGCTGACGCAGCTGCTGGACACCTACCGCAAAGAGAACGCAGTGGTAGCGATGCGCCACGAAGTGTTCGTCAACGCGAAGGAGCTGCGTCGCAGCGAGATCGATGCGCGCGAGAAGGAGTGGAACGTCTCGATGTCGCTGCGCCACGACGCGGTGTACATCCACGGAGACGAGGCTTCGGTGGCGAAGGCGAAGCAGGAAATCGAGGACATCGTGGCGAAGTATGCGGAGTTCCACGAGGATTCGCTGGACGTGCCCAAGGAGGAGATCGGCGTGCTGCTCGGAAAGAACGGAGACAATCTGCGCGCCTTGGAGAGCCAGCTCGGCGTGTCGGTGCACATCGAGGGCAGCAAGCTGCGAATCTGGGGTCCCGCGTCCGCTTTGCCCGCAGCGAAGGCCGGAATCGTGTCCAACCTGGAGGAGCGCGTGTATCTCACGGAGGAACTGAACTGCACGGGCAAGCAGATCGAGTTCCTGCGAGCGGAGCGCTTCGAAGTGGTCCACACGATCCAGAACGCGTACAATGTGACCATCACGCTGCCTCGCGAGTTCCCTCTCTCTGGACCCATCAAGGTGGCTGTGCGCGGAAATCGCAGACAGCTCGACGAGGCGATTCCCGTGGTGCGCGAGGCGCTGCAGGGCTTGATCCGCTGCGAGCTGCATCTGGACGGAATGGTTCACCGTCTGCTCACGGAGAGCTCGCTCCAGTTCCAGCGCCTCGCTCTGGAGAGCCGCTGCCGCATCCAGCCCGACGAGGCCGCGGGTCTCGTGCGCATTGTGGGTCCGAAGCAGGGCGTGGAGCTGGTGCAGGTCCGCGTGTGGGAGCAGCTGGCGGCGCTGGACCCCTCGCTCTACCGCAAGATCGACGTGAGCGAAGCGGTGCTGCTGGGTCTGCAGGAGAAGAAGGACGCGATGAAGACGTTCTCCAAGCAGCACGGCGTGCAGCTGCGTCTGCTGCCGCAGGCCGTGCTGGTGGAGGCCCCCGCCGCCGCGATGGACGAAGCCGTGGCGTTCGTGCAGACGCTGGCCGACGCCGCCGCGCAGGAGAGTCTGCTGATCCCCGTGGGGCAGGACCGCGTGGCGTTCGTGATCGGAGCGCAGGGCGCGCGCATCAACGGCATCATCAAGCAGTCGGGCGCCCAGCTGCGCGTGCTGCGCGATGAGTGGGTGCACGTGCTGGGCACGCCGGAGCAGGCGGCCAAGGCGCGCGCCCTGCTGGAGGCGGCGCTGGAGGAGTACGCGGCCACGCACGTCGCCTTCCAGGTGGACGAGGCGCTGGTGTACGCGATCCGCGGTCCCCGCAACAGCAACCTGGTGCGCATTGAGCGCGAGTGCCGCGTGCGCGTGCGACTGGAGCAGGACGGAGCGGTGAGCATCGTGGGAAACGCCGGCGAGGACGTGGCCAATGCCCGCGCCGCCCTGGAAAAACTCGAAGAGGAGGCCCGGGCGAACCCCGAGCAGGAAACGGCGTACCGAGGAGGAGAGAAGCCCCGCCGAAGGGAGCGCGAGCAGGGAGCGGAGGAGCGAAAGCAGAAGAAGGAAAGAGAAGCAGAAGCAGAAGCAGAAACACCCGCTGAATCGGTGTGGGAAAAGCTGAAACGCGCTCCCCTGCTGCCATCCAAGACGGTCGGAGGAAGCGATATGTACAAGTCGGAGAGTGGATACACCGTGGAGTTATAAGGAAAAGGGGTTATAAGGATTAGGATTGGTATTTCGTGTTTGAGGTGTTTGTTGTTGGAAATGCATCATTGGAATATTCGTGGAATGGGAATGAGAATATTTGTGTTGGATTACAGATATCCAGGCTAAGACACTTGATTCTTGTTTCGAATCTGATAACCGTCCAATCTGTGTTATTGGTATGAAAATGGGATTGAGCCAAACTGGAAATATACAGTTCGATAGGTATTAATCCAGAATTCAAAGATAGTTGTTTCATCTCCTCATCACATCCTTTTCAATTACCACATTATTCAGGTTGAAGCACTTAAAGTAAAGAATGTTTCTATTCTCCAAAAATGGATTTTCCTGTAAGAATGAGAAAGTGCAGACGTCAAACAACAATTGATAAGTAATTATTACCTATCCCCTCTCAAAAATTGAATACAAGGCAGTTTCTCTGAATTCATCATATGAGCAAGATATTTCCTGGAACTTTCCTTGTCTACCAAAACCACTCAATTTAAAAATGGCAGAAGCATCGGAAAATGCGAAAGTAATTCCTTCTGATTCTGAACAGAGGGTTGTCAAGGTGGAAAAAGAATCTCCGGAGACTGTTCCATGGAGCAGTTTGTTTTATACGTACGCGAACAAAAAGGATCGTTGTATGCTCATTATCGGACTCATTTGTATGCTTTGGGACGAAGTTTCATATAGGCTCATTTTTGACCGGTATTTTACTTGCATCAAGTTTTATCTTCTTGGGAGATATTGTGGACAAAAATAATCAAGAATCAGTTGACCTTTCTGATGTACTTGTATCAGTCTATGGATTTGCTGGTATCTTTCTGCTTTCAGCCTTGTTTGCATTCCTTGAGCGTTACTGTCTGAGTACTTATGCAGGTTTGTTTCGTATGATGTGGTAAAGGGTAGAGAATTTGGCTCGTCATTTGCGTGAGAAGTACATCCATGCCCTTCTCCATCATGACATTGACTATATTGAATCGAATAAGCCGAGTACCTTGGGTCAAGCTGTTGCGGAAGAATCCTCTCGCATTATTAATGGATTGGGTCCGTCGATTGGTCGACTCGTCCGATCAATTTCTACCTTTATTGGTGGTGTTATTGTTGGTGTTGTTCACGTATCTCTTATTCTTGCTATTGATGATGATAGAGTTGGCAACTTACCCTTCTGACACTGATTGCTTGTCCTTTTCTGATTTATGCAGGATTGGAGTTTGGAAAGGTGATGGGAAGTTGGATCCAAACCTTGATGCGAGACCACAAGGAAGCAGACAGCATTGCTGAAGAGAGTATTCGAAACTACAAAACGGTGACCGCGTTGGGAGCCGAATCTTCGATGGAGAAAAAATACGTTTCCTTGGTGCGTGTTGTGGATTGGCTCTTTACGATTAGATCGAGAAGTGCAAGAAAATGCTGCTGAAATCGCTGTATCGAGCGGGAACGTGGAAGAGTGTGAATAGTTTCTCCTACAATTTCGCAATCACGCTGCTCTATCTCTTCGGAACCATTCTTTTCTACACGCAGCGCAAGGGATTCCCTCAAGAACTCTATGATGCGGGCTGCGTCACGGACTTGATATCTTCGGTGGACGTTTGCTTCAGCAATGCAACTCTCTCGGATCAATGCATGGCGATTTGTGATCGCGTGTCTAGTTGTTGGTACCAGAGTCGGAATGGGCAATGCCTGGTTGGCGGAGATTTCATGGTCGTGCTCTGCGGAGTATCGAACTTTTTGGGTTTGGCTGCTGCCTTCGGCGCCATTCAAGCGATTCAAAGCACGCGCGCGTCTGCGACCTGCTTTGTGAAGGTGATTGAGCACGAAGACGCGATGAAGTCTGGATCGACCACTCCCAGCAGCAGCAAGGGAGACGTTGTGTACAAGAACGTGGACTTCAAGTACGCTTCGCGCGACACGCAAGTGCTGAAGCAGCTCAACTTCACCATTCGCGAGAACGAAATGATCGGCATCGTGGGCGAGAGTGGCAGCGGAAAGAGCACAATCTTGAAACTCTTGATGCGATTGTACGCTCCGACGGCGGGAACGATCACGTGGGACGGAGTCGATGTGACGACGCTCTCGACGGCGTGGATTCGCGATCAGATCAGCTACGTGGCGCAGGAACCCGTGCTGTTCAGCGGAACGATTCGCGAGAATCTGCTCTATGGACGCGAGGGCTGCACCGAGGAGGAAATGGTGGAAGCCGCGAAACTGGTGGAGGCCGACGCGTTCATTCGATCGTTCCCCAAAGGGTACGACACCTTTGTGGGCGAGTTGGGAAGCTCGCTGTCCGGAGGACAGAAGCAGCGTATTGCTATCGCCCGCGCGCTGATTCGAAACCCGCGAATTCTGGTGTTGGACGAAGCGACGAGCGCGCTGGATTCGCAGAGCGAGAAAATCGTGCAGAACGCGATGGAAACGATCCGGAGAAAGAACGAAGCGAAGGGAAAGGGACTGAGCATCGTGATCGTGGCGCATCGGCTGAGCAGCATTCGATCGTGTAATCGCATTGTGGTGGTGGAGGAAGGAAAGATCGTGGAGGAAGGCGATCATGAAAGCTTGCTAGCGAAGGGCGGAATCTATGCGGGATTGTACAAAAGCCAAGAAACTTTAGAAAAGGAGGAAGAAGAAGGAGCCGAGGGAACGGAAAAGAAGGAAGAGAAGGAAGCGGATGCAGAAGCAAAGAAGAAAGAAGAAAGAAACGAAAAGGAGAAAGAGAAAGAAGCAGAAGTTGCAGATTCGAAAAAGAAGGACGAAAACGAAAAGGCAGAAAAGCCAAAGAAGTATAATCTCTTCTCTCTCTATCAGTACTTTGGTACTAAAAAGTGTATTTTCTGGATCGCTTTCCTTGGCGTTATCTTCACTGCTTTGTATCCGGCTGCCTATACCGTAATCATGGCTTCGATGCAATCCATCGCGTACTCGATGGATGTGAACGAAATCTGGAATACCGGTATGCTGTTGACCGGCTTAATGGTGGTTGTGATTATTGTGAACTGCGCTGGCGAGCTGCTCTGGTGGGATTTGTCGAGTGTTGTGAAGGAGAACATGATCGTAACGGTGCGGTCGAAGTCCTTCACGAAGCTTCTCTCCCAGTCTGTAGCTTACTACGATGAGAAGGAGCATTCTCCAGGTAAGACGTTCTCTATCCTGCATTATAATTCGTAGGTGCAATCACTTCGGAACTCTCCATCGATGTTCGAAAGCTGCGCGACTTCATGGATGAAGTGGGAACCATCATGGAAAGCGTGATCGTGTGTTTGCTTTGTATCGCATTCGCGTTTTCATCGATGGGATCGTGGAAGTTGGCGTTGATTTCGATTGTGGTGTGTCCTGTTTTATTCTCTGCGGAGTATTGCCAAAACAAACTCGTGGCGAACGTGATTTCCAAGATCGACAGCAATCTCACAGAGAAATCCAGCGAGACAACGGACGCTCTGCTCAACATCCACACGATCCACGCGTACAATCTGCAAGATCGCATCTATGAATCGATGATCCACGACCTGGAGCGAACCAATCGTTTGTGCAAATCGCGAAGCCTTCGATCGGCAATTGCCGACGCGATTTTGTTAATCTTCTCCATGATTTTCATGGCAGTCGTTTTTGGAGCTGGCTCTATTTTGATTGGCTTCGATCAGATCAGTTATCCCCAGATGATGATCGTTTACAACACCATTTTCTACATGTCGTCCTATATTGGCGTTGCAATGGGCAAAATTCCCAATATGGCGTTGGCTCAGGAGGCAGCACAGCGAATTTTCTCGCTGATTGAAAGCTCGGGCGAGAAGGACGCGCTGCGAGCGCTTCCCGAGAAGGCGAAGGACGGAGCGATCGCCTTCGATCATGTGTCCTTCGCGTATCCCACTCGGCCCGACGCTCCGATTCTTTCCGATGTGTCCTTCTCAATTCCCAAGGGATCTTCCGTGGCTTTCGTGGGTCCCAGTGGGTGTGGAAAGAGTACGATCATTTCGCTGATCCAGCGAATGTACAAACCGGAGAGTGGCGAAGTGTTGATGGACGGAGCCAATGTGCAGAACGTCAATTTAGACTCGTATCGCTCGCTGCTGGGCGCGGTGAACCAAGAGCCCTGCATGTTCAGCGGCACGATTCGCGAGAATTTGGTGATGGGATTGGATCGTGAAGTGTCCGAAGCGGAGCTGAAGGACGCTTGCACGCAAGCTTTGTGCATGGATTTCATCAATGAAATGGTGGACGGATTCGAAACGGATCTCGGATCGACCGGAAAGTCGGTTTCGGGAGGACAGAAGCAGCGATTGGCGTTGGCTCGCGCGATTCTTCGAAAGCCGCACGTGCTGCTGCTGGACGAAGCGACGAGCGCGCTGGACAGCGAAAACCAGGACAAGTTCTTGGAGGCATTGGAGAAGTGGCGATCGACGCATCCCTGCACGGTGATCACAGTGGCGCACCGACTGAGCACGATCGTGGACAGCGACATCATCTTTGTGGTGAGCGAAGGGAAGATCGTGGACAGCGGAAAGCACGCAGAACTGCTGAAGAAGTGCGAGTTCTACGCAGCACTGGTCAAGGGACAGATGGAAAGCACGCCGCATGAAGAATAGATGGAAAGGGAGTCGAGGGAATGAATGAATGAATCTACATAGTAGTAGTTATCCACATCCATCGAATCATTCCTCTGGTTGTTTGTTTGAAATACACGGAGAGCTGTGAATCTTTTAAGCACATTCATTGAGTAAAAGGATGACATGTGTATGAAGATGATTACCTTGATTTGATGAATCAAACACCACAATAATACACTGAGGAGTTTTTAGTATTAAAAAACGTGCCTCCATACAGCAAGGCATTGCATTCCTTGCACACAGTCGATTGTTTACTATTCATATATCCGCAGCGAGAGCACGGAACCTGGTTCTTCAAATCATCTAACTCCTCATAGGCGCTCTTTGGCTTCGGTTCCGTCTCCGGCACCGCCTTCTTCAGCAACTGCAAATGCTCCATTTCCTCCTCTCGAATTCTACGCCTCACTCCGCCACCCTGTACCCAAACATTTCCAGCGAGACATTCTCCACCCTACAAGTAACACAGTCGATCCGCGATGCCTACACGCGATGTCTCCACAGGAAATAAGCAAACCACCCTAAAAAGCCGATCAATGCGCAGCACCCCAAGATTTTCCACTTGTTCGCCATCGGATCCACGTCTTCCACGTTTGTAGAGAGCAGCACTACGCTGAGAGTCCACGCAATGCCTTACGGATATTGTTCGTATCATACATTTCACACTTTGTGAGCAACGCATCGTGGGTATTGGGAACTTTCAACGTAATTCGCTGGTGTAATGAGGTGGTCGTTTCGAAGGAATCCAAGATTTGCGCTGTGTGTGAAGCAGAGAGCGACGCGTACGTCGTTTGGTCATAATATAGCAGACGATCATCGCATTGATGTTGCTCTCGACGTAATAAGTGACCGATCGCCTCCACCGATGGATGTTCCGAATGAAGAAGTAGGCTTCTTCGGTCTGGAAGGGGAGCGACTGCGACACTTTTCGCTTCGAAGGAGTATCGTACGGAAGCATGACACACTTCAATCGATACTCTTGGGAGGGCTTCAAACGGCGAATCTCCGCAGTCGCAGAATCTTTCATTTGAATAATACTTGGAATCCATTACAACTGATGTATTGTTTTGAGTTCTGGTTCAACAGTTTCTTTAAATCAAAAGGCTCATCGGGAGTCAGGGCGACACACATCACATGGGAAGGAACGTTGACAGTAACTAGTGCTTCCACCGAAAACGCTGTTACTAGGGTTACTTTCACAGATATTGATAATCCAGAATCTGTATCTTCTAACTTTCGGTTTGAATATTCTTTCGATATTGCAATTTCTTGGTAAGTGTTATTATCTAATTATTAGTATCATTACGAAAACCTACAACTAAAACGAGAAGGATAAAGCTGAATATCTTTTTGTATACTCTACACTGTCGTTTACACAAATCAATTCTTACATAGGTAGAAATAGTACAAATCACATAAGCAAGACCAAGTACTACGTGTTAAGCCACCTGAGTGATTTCTTACATAAGGGAGCAATATACTGTCTATAGTGCATTCCCTCAACACAATCATATAATCGAAAAAAAAATGTATCTCTTATTTTTGTCATCTACCTAGTTAGTTGTGCATAAACATATTCTCTGGTTGCTATCAAAGTGATTTAGGTGATGAAGGGGTGGTCGATGGAGTTTGTATCTGTTGAGACCCAAATATTAAATGGCATCGCCGCTCTCATTCCCAAATACCACCTTCATACAGTGTTCTATCGCCATAGTCTTAGAGTGACTAAATTTCTTATACACTATCATCGAATTGTGTTGAGCTCTTGAAAACCAGAGTGAAGGGATAGAATCCAAATTGCTACATAGTTATTAGTATTACAAAATGCAATTCTTTGTTCACAAATTAATTAGAGTAATTTGTTTTGAATTGAAAGTGCATTCAGAATTAATTCTATTGTATTATTCCTTTCATATTCTTTTCTTTATTTAAGTGTTTCTATTTTTCAAGTTAACAATAATTACATTATTATGGATTATGCAATTTTGAATACTTTCCGATAATGAAAATGAAATATTAAAAATTAGTAAAATATTGTAGTATTAATTGCCATTAATTAATATTTGTGATATTTCTATATTGATTATTTTAATGGATTTATTATTCTGCATATTGAATGAAATTAAACGAGTTCCTTGTATTGTATATGACCATTCGTCGTTGTGGTAACTTGTTATCACTTTGTAGAAATCGTACAAAGGCAATGGGATATTGGAGCCACTACAATCTCTATATTGAGGCTGCGTTGTGTTACGTGCATATTATTCTGAGTATCAATCATGTACGTACGTACTCCTATTTCTGTCTCTATGTTGTTCCCACACTGTAAACGACGAGATTTATTAAGTTAATTTTTTGCTTCACATAGATCATACATAGTGTATTTTAAAGAATCGATTATAATGTGAAGGATAATGGATTTGTTGTTATACATGAAATACCAAACCAACAAACGTGTTTCATCATTGTAGTACACAAATAAGCTAAGTATTGTTTGTTCAGGCAATTCACATTCATCCTGTTTTTCTCTTTCTGCTAATTATAAAAAGTAACATAATTTACGTATATCTGTTACTCAAGAATACACGTTACAAAAATAGGGACACTTAAATTAGTTTTGTACATCATCCCATTCCGTAAACAATTGTTTCCAAGCGATAAAAAAACATATCTCCTTTATATCTTTATCATATTACCACGCCCAGAGAAGGAAAACCGTATACTTTGTATCACGACCATCTTGAATCACGCTTGTTATGATTGGAAACTAAATACAGAGGAACACCGAATGTAAATCCAGTTATTAAACTCAACATTGTTTTTTCAAAACAAAAGTCAATAGCTGCTCTTGATGTATCTTATATATACATATCAATTAAATAAAATATAGTAACAATAAGCGAATAATAGTTATTTTTAACTGGTTATAACTAGCCAGTAAAATACTAGATTCTTGCTGAGACGACATACAAATTCTTAATTATTATTTATATAAGAGGCATACCCATGCAAACTGGTATCGATAAAATTACACAGGCTGTACAATATGATAATGAAGGTGAGTGTTTCTTTTATAACTTGATCCTTGTAGGAAAGTATCCTGAGGCAATTGCCTGTTATAAAGATGGCTGCAAAGTTCTAATGGAATCCCTCAGATGTATTTTGAGAAGTATGGGAGTCATTGATAGTTGAAAAGAATCCATATGTAGTAAAGAATTTAAATGAAAAGATCGTGTCCTATATTGATCGTGCAGAAAAACTAAAGAAACAAGTTGAAGGTTTCCTTCACTTTTTCAATTCATTCTAGAAAGCAAGAAGCCTGCAAAGCCAAGTCAGGAAGACGATGACGCTGACGAAGGCAAGAAGCTCCAAAGTCAGTTAAGCAGCGTGATCGTGACCTCGAAGCCAAATATCAAATGGGAGGATGTTGCAGGTCTGAAAGTGGCGAAGGACGAACTGATGACCGCTGTGATTCTCCCTGCCACGCAGCCTCAATTGTTCGCAGGCAAGCGCGCTCCCTGGAAGGGCATTCTGCTCTACGGCCCTCCCGGAACGGGTAAATCCTATTTGGCGAAGGCCGTCGCCTCCCAGGCCGACAGCACGTTCATGTCGGTGTCGTCTGCGGATCTGGTGAGCAAATGGCAGGGAGAAACGGCTCGGTAGAAGCGTGTCCGGGTTTTCACGTGCAGATTGGTGAAGAATCTGTTCCAGCTGGCTCGGAAGAACAAGCCGACGGTGATCTTCATCGATGAAATCGATTCGCTGGGCGGGTCGCGCGACGTTTGGACCGCTTGGTGGGTTGCATCGTAGAGCGGAAACAGCAGCGGCGGCCAGAAGCAGGCCTTGACGGAGTTCTTGGTGCAGATGGACGGCGTGGGCAAGGACCAGACCGGGATTTTGGTGCTGGGCGCGACGAACGTGGTAGACAAAGGGGATGGGCGGTGAGGAGTAGCCGTGGGAAATCGATTCGGCGCTGCGTCGCCGCTTCCAGAAGCGAATTTACATTCCGTTGCCGGACGAAGAGGCGCGGAAGGCGATGTTCAAGATCCATTTCGGGAAGGAAATGCACGAGCTGACCGACGAGGATTTCGACTATTTGGCCAAGCACACAGAGGGATTCTCCGGCTCGGATATCAGCAATCTCGTCACGCAGGCCCTGCTCTCGCCGCTGCAGAAGCTGCAGAAGGCGGAGTACTTCTATCTGGGCAAGGACGGGATTTATTATCCCTGCGCGGCCAGCAGCGCGGGCGCGATTCGGATCAGTCTGTTCGATCTGCCGCAGGGCAAGGTGACGAACCCGATCTTCAAGCGAGTAGGCGAGTAGGCGAGGAGCGAGGCGTAGGAAGACATCGACGATCTGCTGAAGCGCGCGGTGAAGGCGTCCTCAGCGACGGAGCTGAAGCGCTACGAAAAGTGGACGAAGGAGTTCGGAGAGGAAGGCGTCTAAGAAGGAGTCATTGTATTTGCTTTTCGATGTGTCGATCGTCCTCTCTTTGGTTTTGTTTTATTCCTGTTTATCTTGTCGCTTGTGTTGTTTGGCTGTTTGTTTGTCGATCAAACATCCCATCACTGTCCGTTCTCTTCGAACCCTGCCGTCTTGTGCACCTCTTTGATTCCGCCCTGCGGCAGCACCACCGGCATGAAGATCACGTTCCCGCCCGCCTCCACGTTCGACGAGATGGTCATCCACCCCACCCCATCGATGCAATCGTTGCGGAAATGCCCCTCTGCGCTCACGCCCCTCCTCCACTCCTACCGTACTTGCTCTCGTTCTTGAACTTGTACACGCCGCGCCCGTGCCGCAGATTCTGGCTGAACATTCCCGAGTAGCAATCCCCCGTTCCGTACGTCAGATCGCCCTTCCCGCTCAGCATGCCGCCCTGGAAATTCCCGCTGTAGCGTACCACTTCGTCGACGACGTCCTCGATCACCACCTTCTCCTTGTCCTTCTCACGCTCCGACTTATGCGAGATTAAGTGCATCTGCTTCGGGAACGACTCCTCTCCCGTCTCGGCGTCCACCAATCGCTGTCGTTTCTGATGGCACACCAGGGTTCCTTCCCCGCACCGCTGATCCTCCACCCAGTTTCCATAATAACTGTTCCCGTTGGCGTCGAGGAAGCTCCCTTCGCCGTGCCTCCGATCCTCCTTCCATTTCCCGTTGTAGCTCGCTCCGTCGTGGAACAGATACACCCCCTTCGCGCTGCGCTGTCCCTGCTGGAAGCTTCCCTGCGCCTCACTCGCTGTCCTCTGCCCCACCTCGTACACATCGCCGTTTTCGTAGTAGTAAACGCCGTGTCCGTGCAGGCGCCCGTCCGTAAACTCCCCGCTGTAAATGATGTCGTCCCCGCGGGAGAGCTCCCCCTTCCCGTGCTTCCGGTCGTTCTGCCATTCCCCGCGGTAGCTGCGCTCAGAGGGTTCCCCGATGCCTACACGACGCCGTTGCTGAAATAGTATTCCCCGTAGCCCTCGCGCTTGTCGTTGTGCACTTCCCCTTTGTACACTTCGTTGTTCGGATATTCCAACGTGAACACGCCGCTCCCGCCCACGCCGCACCCCGACGACTCGGCGGAATCCTTCGAGATTCCGTGGAGAGGGCAGTAGTACCGCACAATGCGCTGTCTACACTCAATCAACCGCGGGAATCCCACCCTTCCTCGTCTCGATACATGAAAATGTAGTTCATTTTGTTGGCCAGCCCGTCCAGTTTCCCCGATCCCCCGGTTTCTCCGGTTTCTCCGGTTTCTCCGGTTTCTCCGATCGGTCCAGATCCATTGGGGGCCTGGGCGGCGGCCTGCGCGTCGGGGGCTCGGTAGTGGCGCAGACAGCGTCCATGCATGAAGTGCTGGCAACCCTCCGCGCAGCATTTCTCCGTCAATCCGCCCGCGCAGTGGCAGATGCAGCACGTCTAGATCGCATTCCCGCGGGAGGGGTACATGGATGAAGAGGGAGTGGGGGAGGGAGGAGAAAGAGAGAAGCTCGGCGTCGGTGGGAGTGGTGGGGGTGGCGATGATGGGCTCCATGTGCGTGTAATTCAGCACGGTGAGTCGGTTGCTGAGCAGCATGCAGGACACGTGGCACCACTCTCCCTCCCAGGTTCGCTTCAGCGCACCGCCGGGGAAGGAGCAGCACACGCAGAGCTGCTGCGAGAGCGGAGCTACGCGTGAGAGAACGGGATGGACCCTACCCTGGGAGTTCCACGCCTTGCAGAGACAGGGATCGCAGACCCAGTAATGCGCGTTGATCAGGCTCGTCGTGTTGGACATCTCCACGCCGTAGCAGCACTACGCCTCACTCTGCTTCCTCGTTTCTCTCACCGGATGCACCAGCACGCCGCACTGCGTGCAGCGCAGCAGCCGCGTCGCCTGCGAGGCCGTGCTGCCCGAGGAATCCGCGGGGCCGTTGCACACGTCGCACACCTCCGCCACTTCGTTCGCCTTCCAGGGCTTCCGCTTGCGATTTGCGGGGTCCAGCAAGCGAGCGCGGATCGCCTCGAGCGACTCCTGCTTGGGGTGGCCGCCCGAGCCCATGGGGAAGCCCAGGGAGGAGGGGAGATGGTCGTGAATGTAGCATTTGATGGTGGTCATGAGGCCTTGGTCCACGTTCACGCACACTAACACTTTGAACAGCCCAAACTCGTTCTCGCCCATTCCGTGCAGCACGATGATCCCACAAGCAGGCGTTTCGTACAGCAAACGATCTGCGTATTGTTGATAGCTAAGAGTATAGGAGGGAATGGAGGAGGGGTCGAATTCGGATACGGAGCCGTAGTACGCCAACCCGAGTCGGAAACTTTCCTTGATTTGGTCGTGCGGATTCTCCATGTAGAACAGACCATTCCACAACCCGCAGAATTCACATGCGTATTTCTTTAGATGGGTGCTTAGATACTCTTGGTACTCGGGAAAAGCTTGTTTCTTTCCCTTTCGATTTGCATTTGTAAATGTGTTATAATTTTGCTTTTCTTTATCCGGAATGAACGTCCACACGCGGCTTGAGCGTTTGAAGGAAATGGTCTGGGGTCGAATGACCGAGTCCCGACTGTCCTTCGCGAGAAAGCTCCAATGCCCTTTCCATTCCGGATCTAGTGATTTGAAAGTGACGATCCCGCGCATCACCACAGTGTTATCTAGTTTTTCAATGGAAAGCGGGAAAGATACCATCCGTTATTTTGGAAGTGTCTACTTCACTTTCGGGCTTTGCGGACGTCTGCATTGGTGGCGAATTTCCAAAACCACTTCTTGAAGGAAAAATCAAGCTGAATTTTGCATATTCAAAAATCCGTATTGGAAGGGATGTTTCTTTCTTTTAAAGGGATTGCGTGCAGGGGTGCTTTGCGATCCTCTGCAAGGTCTCTTTATGGAAATCTTTCCCGGTCTTTCCTCCGACCCACTGTGATGTCCCTCAACGAAACGCAGCCCAATGTAGAGACGGTCGTTGCAATCGAAAATAGATATCACACCTTTTTGCACGTTCTTTTTCTTCTCGGGGGAGTTCGCCCTTTACACAGCGGGGAACGTTTCCCCGCTCAGCAGATGCGACAAGCACATTTGTTTCTTCCCACTATAAAGTGCGATTTTGTTTTAGAGTTATTCAAAAAGATTGACGAGAGTTCTATTTTGGAATATTTGGGTCGTAAGGGATTTGAGTACAAAGAGAACGCGGAAGAATACATCGTGAGGGAATGCATGTTTTGTCCCAAGCCACACTACAACAAACCAGACAATCTCTACAAGCTGTACTGACGACTCTTCCTTTCCTTCCCTAATCCCTAGTTACATCAGCAAGGCCACCGGCGCGTTCATTTGCCATCGCTGCGGCACTTGCGGCTCCTGGTTCGATTTCAAGCGGAAGCTGGGGGATCTGCAAGGTAGGCCTCCCTCCCCTCTCCATGTTCCTAACGCCCAGAGGACTCGCACTGCTCCCTCTCTCCCTTGCCTGCGTCCGACAGCAAATCGAAGCAAGTGCACCAGTTCGCCTACAACGAGATGAAGGAATACATCGCCAATCTCCGCGAGAACCGCTTTCCCCGCGTCTGGGACTCGCTCACAGCGCGCACGCCCACGGGGCGCTGGCTCACCGCGGAGACGCTTCGGAAATACTGCGTGGGCGCGTGCTCGAAGACCTTCGTGCAGCCCACCGGGGAGAGCCGCGCGGAGGACTGCGTGGTGTTTCCGTGGATCTCCCTGCAGGGCTCCACGCCGCTGGTGCACCGCTACAAGATCCGCTCCATCGACACCAAGGCGCACATGCGTCTCGAACCCGCGGGGGGCGACTGGGGCTTCTTCGGCTGGCACACGGTCCCCGCGTCCTGCGCGCGGCTCGTGCTCACGGAGGGCGAGTACGACGCGATGGCGGTGCACCAGGCCACCGGGCTGCCCGCGGTGTCGCTGCCCAACGGGGCCACGTCGCTGCCGCTGCGCCTGCTCCCGCTGCTGGAGCCCGTCAAGGAGATCGTGCTGTGGATGGACTTCGACCGCGTCGGCCAGGAGAACGCGCTGCGCTTCGCGCGGAAGCTCGGCCAGGCGCGCGTGCGCGTCGTGCCCCCGCCCGACCCCGCCGACGCGGCCGCGAGCGGCGTGAAGGACGCCTGCGACTGCCTGCGACGCGGCCTGGACCTCGGCGCCTTCGTGGAGCGCGCGCGGTGCGTGCCGCACGAGCAGATCCTGACGTTCGGCGAGCTGAAAACCGGTGGAACCCGCGGGGAGCGTGATGGGTAGGACGTGTTCTACGACCTGGTGCATCCCCGCGAGCTGCAGGGAATCCCGTTTCTCTCGCTGCCCTTCCTCAACCGCACGCTGAAGGGCCATCGCCGCGGCGAGCTGACCATCCTGACGGGCCCCACGGGCTCCGGCAAGACCACGCTGCTGTCGCAGCTGTCGCTGGACCTGCTGAGGCAGGGCGTCGCCACGCTCTGGGGGTCCTTCGAGATCGCAAACCGAAGGCTCGCCGCCACCATGCTTCGCCAGTTCAGCCGTAGGCTACGAGGGAGGGCGGTGAGACGCAGAATCGCGGTTATCGCCGGAGATGTCGCACCGGGAATTCGAGGCGGTGGCGACGCAGTTCGAGCAGCTCCCGCTGTATTATCTGCGCTTCTTTGGGTCCACGCAGCTCGAGCAGATCCTCGACGCGATGGAGTACAGCGTGTATGCGCACGACGTGCAGCACATCATCCTCGATAACCTCCAATTCATGATGGGAAATGCTTTCAAGGGATATGAGCGGTTCGACGCCCAGGAGCGCGCGCTGTGCGAGTTCCGAAAGTTTGCAACCGCGCAGAACGTCCATGTCACGCTGGTGATTCATCCCCGCAAAGAGCCCGAAGATCAAGCGCTGAACATCAGTAGCGTGTTCGGAACCGCAAAAGCGACGCAGGAGGCGGACAATGTGCTGATAATTCAAAACGAGAATGGGCAGAAGAAATTGGAGGTGAAGAAAAACCGGTTTGACGGAGATTTGGGGTGTGTAGGCCTCCGATTCAATAAAGAACGGCTGGTATTCGAAGAACGAAGAAAGGACGAGAAAGCCGAGCCGGAGGAGCGAAATGGGGCGGAGGATGAAGAAAAGAGCGTTTCGGAAGAAACGGTGGCCAAAAAGCCATTAAGTAAAGTGTCAAAGGAAATGGGGAGAACAGCCCATGAAATCATCATGGGATAGGTCGATTCGAAAGGCGGGAACCTCTATCCGTAAATCTGTTCGATTCTGTAGCAAAACTTTTGATATAAATAAAACTGACTATTTTGGACTTTGTTAAGAACAACTACAAATTCTATTTCAGTTCTTTATTATATTGAAATTTTATACTTATTTTATTCCTTGCATTCTTGTATAGTGTTCATTGGTCTGTAAAACGTGAATGTCAAAGCAGCATTTTAAACCATTTTCCTCTATGTACCAAGGTCATTGTATATCTGATATACCGCATTTTGAGAACACACCGCAGGAACAATCTGGCAACTCAGCCTACAAGTCTGACGAGCAAGTCTCCTTTTCACCGGATTGTGATTCATCGATCTACTTTATGGATACCCAAGACAAAGAACTTATTGACTCATCATTTAACGATTCTGCTGAGAACCTAGACCAATCCAAGCTCGATACGAGTTATTCCTATTTGTTTAATAGCAACTCTTCTCCGACAGCTGCAGATCCTATTCAACATAGACCTGAAATGAGTTTGCTTGGTCCGCCTGTTAGAAATAACAGTGCTGAAAATTCCGGAAACCGACTCTTTGCGAAGGTTTTTGACTTTTTTTCTCTTACAAACAGCTCTACTCGTTGTCGCGTGATTTCGAGTATCACTACCTCGGTTCCCAATTATCTCAGCCATATGGAGTCCAGTTACTCGTGGAGGGATGCTGCGTTTGCTGCAACACGTACTATGTACCTTTTTCTCTTTCCTCTGAAATTCAATCTAGCCTCCCAACGAAGCATATGTTCTTGTCGTCTCACTTCGAACCAACACTACACATATCGCTCATCTTTTTTGCCTAACGCATTTATACAAAGAATTTCTTCATTTTGTGCAACCCATCACTTTTCCTCATTTCCTCGTCCGGCCAATCTCTTCTCCCTTCCTTTTCCCGAAAACCACGCAGAGTCTTCCCTACAAAGCCACTCTCACCTTCGGGTTTTCCCACGTCCTTTACTCCTCCCTCCTCCGCGAGTTTTCCTTCTCTCCCCCGGTTTCTCTCTGCGAAACTGCCTTCTACGTGAAACTCCCCGACATCTGCGAAACGCTCTTCCCCCTCAACTCCTTCGCCCTTCACCTTTCCCTCCACATCGCCCTTCCCTCCGCGCCCTACGCCACCTCCGTCCAGGGCATCGTCAACGTCTTCTCCCTCGCTTCCGACGCCGCCGTCGTCACGCTCGAAGCTCCCGACCAAGCCGTATTCACCGCGGTTATCGGGCTCTACTCCGAGGGAATCGCTGTCTCCGCCCTCCTCGTCGCTCTCCCCGCGGGGATTTTCCCCAAGCCACACACCGAAACACCCAAACCCAAATCCAAATCCAAACCCAAACCCAAATCCACACCGAATTCTGTTCCGAATTCTGTTCCGAATTCTGTTCCGAATCCTGTTCCGAATTCCGTGCCGAATTCCGTGCCGAATTCCGTGCCGAATCCTGTGCCGAATCCTGTTGGAAATCCCGTGGGGAAGGGGAAGGGCGGGAGTCGCGTGTTGGAGGGCCGGCTGTCGACGTCGAAGATCGAAATCATGGCGTCGAGCCGCGATGGGAGTTTCGAGTTGCAGGAGTTTACGCGGGAATGCAGCGCGAGCGAGTTCGGGTTGCTGCTTAAGAAATCGCTTCCGCTGCTGAGCGAGTTGATGCAGAGTAGGGGAGCGGAGAGGACATAAGCGGACTAGACACGTTCGGGAACTATTTCGTGCGGGAATTGGTGAATCGGAGCGACGCGACGCAGCTGCAATCCATCGTGGATTCGATTCTGCCTCACTTCATCGCCCTCGCCAAGGGTTTTCTCTCTCTCTCTTTCTCTCTCACTCCCAGACAAAACGGGAACCTACGTGATCCAAAACATCATGCAGCATGTGAGTTGTGCGGACACGCAGAAGTCGATTCTCTCCGCGATGAAAGGCCACGAAATGAAGCTCGCAGTGGACCAGCTGGGCGTGTACGTGCTGAATCGCTGTCTCGATCATTTCGCCCCCGATCTCACGATCGAGCTGAAGAAAACCCTGGCGGCCCAGTCCATCACGCTCTCGAGGAATCGCTACGGCGTGATCTCGCTGCGGACGCTGTACAACACGGCGCCGGAATCTATCCAGGCGATGATTCGGAAGTCGGTGTTCGACCATTTCCCCAGCGTGGTCTACGACCAATACGGATTCTATTTTTTGCAGCATTTGGTGGAGCCCCGAGTCGCGGAGTGCGAAGCGTCGCGAAGAACTATAGTCGAGTTATTTTGTGCTGATATCGCTACTTTTGTGCGTCAGAAGAATGCTATTACGATCGTTGAAAAGTGTATCGATCTGTGTGAATCCGATCGAATGAAACTCGCTCGCGCTTTGTTCAGCAATTCCGAAGTATACCATAACATGCACGGTATTTTTCTGGTCGGGTTTCGACGTGGCGTTGATGGGTAGATGCAGAGGCTTTTCGCCTTGCTGTCCCCCGAGGAAATCAATTCCCTTCTTCCCGTTTTGCGTGAGAATCTTCGAGACATTCCCGTTTTCGAGGACCCGAATCAATGGAGCTGGCTGTTCCCTTATTTTCGAACAAGCACTCCCTCCGGTTTCCTTGTTTTCTCTCAACAAACACTCAAAACGATAAACTCCATCAGCATCTGCTTGGATCGAATCACCTCCGCGGGCACCAGCGAGTTCATCTTGGCCTCATCTCCTCTCTCCTCCCTCACCTTGACCGCAAACATCCGGCTCCTCTCTTCCAAGCACTTCGTCTTCCGCAGTCCTCGCAGCGTGGGACCCACCTTCGCGACCAATTCGTCCATCAGCGGCTAGCTCTCACTCCTCCTCCCTCCTTCCTACCGCAGGCGATCCCAACTCCATAAACGGAGCCAACACGTTGATCACTTCCAATATCTAGTTTCCACGTTTCCACGATCCCTACACGCACACTCCTCGCTAAATACAGCTCGACCACTTCCTGCGCGTCGATCTGCACGTCGTTCGTGTGTCGACTCACCAGTCGGGGTTCGCAGTACAGTCCGTTCTCGATGGCGCCGTGGATCCGCCGCGTCACGCACCCATAAATCGACCGCAGCGCGTCCGTCACCGTCGTGAACAGCGCCGCCAGCGACCGCAGCGCGCTCTGCAGCGCCGAGGCCTCGCGGATCGACAGCGGGTTCCACGAAAACTCAACGATTCTCTGCATCAGACCCGGCCTCCGGAGAAACGTGGAAATGGGGAAGCACCGCTTTCTCGACGATTCGCGGGAGAAGCTCCTTGTCGCGACGCAGGGAACTCTATTTCGAAGTCGCCCTCTGTTTCCACGGTTTCTCCATATTGCTGGATCAGGCCGTACCACGGGAATTCCTCCACACGCTGGTGTATGTCGTCCCCCTCCTCCACCCCCAACGGATCGAACCAAAACAGCGACGGCAGAACCGCGGGAACCAGAAAATCCGGGGCTGCCAGCGCCGCGTACGCGTCCTCATAACTACATGGTACCTCCGTTTCCACGATTACTCAGAAGGAAACTCCCTTCGCCAGGCGTCGAAACGCTCCAGAATCTTCCCCACTTCCATGTTCTCCAGATCTACCGCGGAAAAAACGCCCTTCGCTTCCCTCCGCACCGACTCTATTTGTCAAAAATACCCACGATTTTTGCACCCATGCAGGCTTCCCATTGGCTGGCGCCCGGCTCGTCGAAATTCACAAAAATCGCGTTGTCCAGGTACACATCCACCCCCGCGGTTATCATGTGCATCGTCACGTCGTCGCTCTGCACCTCCCGCACCGAATCCCGAATAACCGCGGGACCGTCGATGTACACGCAGCGCTGCTGACTGCGCGTCTGCGCGATTCGCTCGTCATAGAATAACTCCCCTTCGAAGAACGGCCCCGTCCGCTCCCTCAGTTTCCCCATTTCCACCGCGGAGGGGATTCCCGCGGTTATCGACTCGATGGCGTCGAGTTCGGTCAGAAAGGCCAGATCGTCGCGGAGATAGCACTGATTGGCTGCGAGCACGTGACTCTGATACTGCTCCTGAAACTCCCCCCAGCGTTTCGTTAGGTCGTCCAAAATACCCCGTTTTTCGGTCAAAAATCCGCTCAGGCGGCGGAAGAATTTGGTTTGATTGCGGTAAAAATCGTACCGATTTTTGACATTCCGATTGTCCGCGAATTCCCGCTCCGCGTCCTGCGCCAATTGGTCGATTTCCCGCTCGCTCTGGTCGATGAGGTACGCATTCTACGATTCATCGATTCGCCCGTTTCCACTTCCTGGACGTTCGATCGAAGTTCGTTGAGGGCCGTAGCCAGTCGATTCATCACGTGCTTTTGGGACACCAAGGTGAATGATTTGGGACCATCTGCGATTTATGTCCCCTAATGTCCCTACTGGAAACGGACGGAATGGACCGCGGAGACACTTCCTTCGGACCCGCCATCCCGCGGGAACAGAGCGTTTGTTCCCATAGCGCTTCGTCGTCGCTCGAGGAAACGGAGAATTCTTCCACGCCGTCTTCCAGAGGAGAGCGAAGCGCCGAATCCCCGCGGGAGAGTTGGTTGTCGCGGGAAACGGGGGTTTCATCCATGTCAATGTCAATGTCAATGTCAATTCGTTCATCCTTCTGTACCTTTTCTTCATCTTGATCATCTTGCTCATCTTCTTCTTCTGCGATTTGTCTGTTTCGTTGGAGAAGTTGGGAACGCAGTGAGTCGCTAGGAGAAGGAATCGAGCTGTCTGGAGCTGGGGAGGAAAGATTGAATTCGATTCGGATGGGAGATGTTGATTTGGAGCGATTTTCTATATCAGAAGGAACTGGAGATGACTGTGGAACTGGAGATGACTGTGGAATTGGAGATGACTGAGGTTGAATTCCTTCCAGTACTTCCGATTCTCCATATTCCTGAGTGAGGTCAATCTTTGTTGAAAATTTGGGTTTGTTCGTTGAAAAGAAGTTGGTTCCCTAAAAATCACCCAGCACTCACGACCACACCTTTTTTTGAATTAATCTGTTTTTAAATAATGAATTGCCCACTGGAACCTTCTTTATCGGGGATTTTTCTTCACCCTACAACGATGAACAACAAAAAGCGAAAACTACCTCGTATTCTGTCTTTTGACTCTCAGTGTTTCCATCCTTTAAATTTCTTGTAGGTGTCAGAATAGGCTCATCCTCTTCCTCACTATTATCATCTCGCTTTCTTATATTTCTTTTATTCTTTTGACGGACTTTTCTGTTAAACATTTTTCTTCTTTGCACAAAACTTAAATGGCATATTATTTTAATGGGTGAACAAATACCTTATCCAGTATTTAGTAATCTAGATGATGAATTGTCTATTGATTCAAATCAAGCGGAATCATTCAGTGATCGACCCTTTTTGCCTTCTCTTGGTTTTGCGCAAATTATAAATGGAACTGAAGTTAGTTTTACTTATCCCATTAATTATACTGTAAAGGAGATAAAGTTTGACGATCCTGACACGCAAGATGGCAAGGGAAAGGAAATATACAAGGGAAATCATGAACATGAGTATTTGGTTTGCGAATGGAAAAATCATTTAAAGAACGGAAAGGGTTTGCTGTACAATAGTTGGGGAGAACTCTTATTTCGAGGGAATTTTGTAAATGATAAGCTGGAGGGAATGGGAGCAATTTATCATGACGGTTGCGTGATCGCGGAATTGCTATATGAGCACAATCAACCCGATCTGCTGAACTATATTGAATGTTCTCCCGATTCGATCATTCTCGTAAAGAGATCCGAAAAAGGAGAGTTGCTCTATCGAGGCGGTTTTGATGAGCAAACGCTTGAAAGAGAGGGATGGGGCGCGGAATATAAAAATGGGGTTTTGCACTATTACGGGACTCACGAGAGCAATGTCATTGTAAATATAACAAAGAAATTCGAGGCAGATATTATGTACGAATATGGAAGCGATCAAACGCTTGTTTATGTCGGAAACTACAAGGATAGTTTGGTTGAGGGATTCCCCAGAGAAGGAGAGGGAAGAGAATATTTGAATGGAGTGCTCACGTTTCATGGGCAATACGCAAACAATAAGCGAAATGGAAAGGGAACGTTGTTTTATCAATACGGAGTGGCAAAGATGTGTGGATTTTGGGAACAGGGGAAGTTGCTGTGGTCCATGGAGATGGACAGCAATGGATACAGCAGTAATTTGAAGTTCGATGGAAGGTCGATTGCTTCCATTCGGGTTGTTGATGGACTCGAAGTGATCAATATGAACATCCGCAATATGAAAATTGGAAATAATGCTTGTAATTCTAAAGAAATTCAGCGTTTCGTTCTTTCAAACGCGCCTTGCATTGAGACGATCTCCATTGGATCGAATTGCTGCAAAAATGTCACCTTTTTCCAGATTGAAGACCTTCCTTCATTGAGAAAAGTGACGATTCTGGAAGACAGTTTCACTACGTTTAATCGCACCACCAACACTCCAATCAACGGGAATCACCCGGCCAATTCTCGCTATCAATCTATCTTTCAAATCAATCGATGTCCGCAGCTTGTAATGTTTTGTTGTGGCTGCGGATCCTTCTCCTCATTCCTACAGTTTTCACTTACAAGTATCTGCCTTATTCATCGGTTTTGAATTAGATCTCCCCCAGTTTCAGACTTTAATCATAGGGAAAGTCGTACCCGACCGCGTAGGCGACCAGGATAGTTCGTTCTGCTTTTACTGGGCGGAGGAGTTCCGATTAGAAAACCTTCCAAAACTGGAAAGGGTTGAGATCGGATGTCAAAGCTTCCACAATGTGTATGTTGTTTCTTTAGTTGGTAAATCCTTTTTTCGTTTTCTCTGAACCCAAAGAACTCCCAAATCTCCTGACTTTCTCTGCTGGGTTTGCCAGTTTCTATGGGAACCACGGCAGAACGCGAGGATCGTTGACCGTCCAAATGCTCTATCTGCCATCGCTCTCTTTCATTGAGCTCGGCGAAGTTGTATTCTATAACATCTATGACATTCGGATCAATGGTAGAGCTGTGTTTGATTGGTGTTAGCTTCTAGATTTCCCGTCGATTATCAATCTGAATCAGCTTGTGATTCATAAAGATGTTTTTGCTCAGCTCTGCGTTGTTTCGCTTGCTCCGAGTCTGTTTAATGCATTTGTGTGATGTGTAGAATGCTCGAGAGTGCTTCGTCAGTTCTTCCAAAAGTTCCAAAATGTGAAAATACAAAACTTTACATCTGACTGATTGCATGAATGCATGAATGAATGAATGAATGAATGAATGAATGAATGAAAAGAAGAAATGAATTCGGATTGCTTGCTTACATGAATGACTGTGTATTGACTTACAAAGACTGTTTGTGTGAATCGGTTTTGTACCCTTCAAGAAACACTTTGTATTCATTCATCTCTTGCAGGTCTATAAATTGTTTGTTTGTTTATTCATTCATCCATCTCACAACAAACAATCAACAATTTCCCAAAGATCGATTTACCAATATAAGAATGAATGCGCAGCAAGCAAACTCAGTAGAAGCATCGATTCACTTCGATAAGCAATGCTCACAATTATCAACTACGATACCAAACACTTTTTTAACGAACGAACTCTCGCTCCTTCGAGTCCTTTTCTACGACCGCGAACAACTCCGTATGTCGTATGAGAGTACTTAGAAACTTGGCTCGCTTTCCAAACTGCAATGCTGACGTTCCTCTCATGTTTGGTTCATTCGGAAGAATGCAAAGGATGACACAAGTTAATAGATTGTTATCTACGTCACACTCTTCCTTCACTCAAACGGTTCATTTTATTAAACGAACTATATGTTTCCACATCTCTGAAGAACTCGATAACGTACTTCAGCGTGTGAAATTGATCTGCATTTAGCAGACTCAACGTTTCGGTTATATGCGCAGAAATCTCCCCGAATTCGGTCAATGCCTGAATGGATTCGATTTGGGGATAGCAACTGTAAGGGACCAGATGGATTTCTTGTAAATAAAGCTGCTTTTTAGCCATTCCAAAAATACCCACTTTTATTGCGTGACAGACACAAAGAATATCATGCTCACTCGTTGAAACGCACTCTTCTAATAGAGTTCCGTTCACTACGCTGTGCATGATTTCCTCGCTGACCTCCAATTCCCCGTTCCGCCGAAAAATCCCCTCCACTTCTACCGATTAGCCCATCCCCGCGGTTCTACCCATTCCATAATCACGCACAAACTGGCAGGCGATGCGAAGAAACGCGGCAACATGCGTTTCATCGCACTGCATGGCCAACGGCGGCATAATCCAGGTCTCCTCCGCGGAAGCCCGCTTGGCTGCCCAATCCTGCTGCGGACTGTGGATCCAAATCGCCTGCCGATTGGACCGATTGGACCGATTGGATCGATTGGACCGGTTCGATCGATTGGACCGGTTCGATCGCGTGGAGTGTGTGGCGAGGCTGCAGCGGAGAGAGCGAGAGGAGCGAGTGGAGCGGCTGAAACGGATGGAGGGGTCGAGATGAGGCGAGCGAGTGGGAAAAGAGGGGTGGCGCGTGGGGGAAGAGAGGGAGGAGCGAGAGCGAGAATGGAAAGAAGGGGGAGAGCGAGAGGGGAGCGAGTGTGGAGATAGAGAATGAGAGGAGAGTGGAGAGAGAGGCGGAGAAGAGGAAAGATGGCGCGGAGGAGGAGAAGGAGAAGGAGAAGCAGAATAAAGAGGAGGAGAAGAAGAAGAAGGAGGAGGAATAGAAAGAAGAGCGGGATTGGTGGAGTGAGTGAGCTGAGGAGAAGGGAGGCGAGAGAGAGTACGATGAAAATGCGAAAATCGTGGGTGAGAGAGATGGAAAGAGATGGAGAAATAGAGTTCTATGGATAAAAAAGAGAGAAAAGAGAGAGTACTTGAATCATCTCCAGAGAGGATAGATAGGATACTTTTAAAAACGATTTCAGTGGGATGAAAGAACGAGCGTAGATCATAAAGAGATGAAAACGGAGACAAGGCTTCCAAACCCAACTGGAAATTACATCAAAAACCAAGCAATACATTGCCTTTGTACTACAAACAATGTCTGCAGATAGAAGCTCATAAAGTTTTTTGAAAAAACCAAAGTCTCTACAAAAAGAAACAAGACCGATCTGTACCCTAGTTTTATACAAGGGATAATATCCCCTAGCACAAGTACTTCAAAACCATTGCTATAACCACTGAGAATCTAGCATGAAGCATTTACCCGAACCAGTACTTTCACAAAGATGGAAAAATCTGTAGAATAGTCTTCCTTTTCCGGAGTGAAAAGCAATGATAAGTCAAGCAAAATTACAGGATATCCGCGCTTGGACATCCCTATAACATTAGAGAAGTCTCGGAGTCCAACCAATAAATTTCATCCAAGGAACTACCCCAACTTCTAGTTCATCTACGAAAGGCAGAATAACTGCTATATCTTCCCTAGATCTATATAGGGTATACATAAAATGACAGAGAACTCCACCAATTGAACTAAGAATAAAAGTTTATGATAACAAATATATCACAAGGAGTCTAAATCAATATCCAGGTGTGTATTAAACTTTTTGCTTTTAATAGGAGAAAGAGGAGACAGCTTGTGCTCACTCACAGCCTTATCCACATCCTTTTTGAACTCAGCCAGAGATTCACGTGCTGTCTTCTGATGAAATATGATGGGAGGCGGAATTTCACCCGCAGGCATTTCGCCTAGCTCGCTCATCGTAAAGGAACTCGCGCGGCCTGATGAGGGTCGCTTGGTTCCCGTTTTCTCCAAGTATTCGCTATATTTCTCTTCTACATACTCATTCAAATGATTCTTCAGCTGCTCTTTTCGCTCTTTTAGGTCATGCCGTGGTTTTCGCTTTGATTTCATATCTTCAAAGACTTCATTTAGATTTCGAGCACTTCCCTGGAACGATGTGGTAGAGCTGTCCGGAGTCGTCGGAGTCGTAGAAACATCGCCGTTAGGAAGCTTCATGAGCAATATAGATTTTTCTGTCACCATACGAGGCTTTGTCCTTCCGAGAATGTAGGGATGAATCTTGGGGTCTTCAGATTCATGAAGCCCATAGAAATAAACAATATGCTCCACATGGCGCTCCAAAAAGTTCATTTTACATTGGGACATCACCAAGTAATGGTCCAAATCGGTAATACGTGTTAAACGAGGGAAGTTACTCTCCAAAAACAAATCGGCCATCGAGAAGCGTTTTAGTAAATCCGAGTAAATACGCGGTAACTCACCTTTCATCAATTGAAGGTTCATCTCAAGTGTTTCTCGATTAAATTCAATTTTCTCTGGCTTTTTATCTTCTTTCACCGGCTTTGTCACTTTTATTATGGGAGTTCCAGAGAGAGTGTTTAAAGTCTTTAAAATCGATTCTCGTTTCTTTTGCCAACTAGTTGTCGCAGATTCCTCTTTTACCGGTTGAACAGGTCGTTTTCGTTTTGAAAGAAATTCTACAAGACACCGAAACAAAACACCACTACCATCAATTTCTTCATCCAGAGAACGCTTTTTAGAGGTTCTTTCCTTTAAACCGATAGACGCAACTAAATCCTTTGAGTTCATTTCTGATACTTTTATATTTGCTTATTTATGTATTGAATAATCTAATGATAAATGTATCGGGTTATCATGTACCTTGAATAATAGAAATGACGCTTTTCTATTCAATCTGACTAGAATGATAAGTATATACGAATTCACTCTAATTGGCCAAAAATCGAATAGAAATATTCAAATTTGGATGGTGTTGCCCAAAATCTGGGATTTTTCAGAATAACTTGTTATGGTTCTATTTTATCTATGAATGTTTGGGTCAAAAAGTGACTTATTTTCTTCACATGGATATAGAAATCAAGCCAACGATTCGTTGATAACTAGAATAAGTAATTGCTACTATTCCCTAAAAGAGCGAAGTAAACGAAGCAGCCGTGATTTTGCGACTTTGGTATCCGAAATCCAAAAGTTGGACACGGAGTTTCAGAGACAGCTAGATGAGGGTCGGATTTCCAATGATGATAAGATAAAATACGAAGTATGCCGGCTTTTCCTTTATTATAAATAGATTCTGAAACCACAGATAGATGCTTTCATCAACGAGAAGCGGTCTCTATTTGGAGAATCAGCATTTACGAACAGTTTGTATGATATTATTTGGGATCGTTCATTGATAGGAAAGTACAGAAAAGACAACAGACAGTTAACAGAGATCAAACAACCTTCAATTCGTTTCCACACATCAATAGAAATGATAGGATGAATGGCACATTCTTGTCCAGTTCTCAGAAAATGGATAGGAGCCATAGTACTCAAGGTTTTCTTTCCAAGAGTCAATCATCTTATGGCGAGAGTGCATTCGAAAGACCTCTAAATGGGAGTTATACTTCTGGAGCACCCTCTCTGACGACCGAAACAGCGCATACCCTTAATTCATCAAACTATTCCATTCGTTCGCTATCTAACTCAATGAATCAGGCTTCCTATTATTCTACATCAACACCAACATCAACACCAACACCAACACCACCGATATATCTCCCTCAATCTAAATATCCACCAACGCTACCTGTGAATCCAGCGCAATATGACGATCTGCCCCCACTCCCATTACCACCTCCAGTCAATCCCATTCAATCCAATAAACTATTCCCAACGCTACCCCCAACGCTACCCCCGAGGAATCCTCCATACGGCTTTATGACCGTGCCGTACCAACCTCCTTCTCCGATGCAAAACCCGTTCTCTCTCGACCTCAATTCGATCCCCGACTTTGAGAAAATCCCGTTTGGTGCGGTTGTCCCGTCCTCTGTTTGCAACAAACACTCTCTAAATCCACAATCCACTATTCCTTTCTCCGTCGCTTGGTCACCTCATTCACCAGCTTCTCCATCTGCTTGGTCTTCACAAACGCGGGATTGGTCACATCAATTCCGAAATCGTCGTTCTTCACCAAGGCTTCAAACCGATTATCGTTCAAATCGATCTACCATTCATCGCTTCCCTTCTCTCCTACTTCAAAATCGTCCTCCTTCGTCGCTCGCTTCTTTCCCTTCTTCTTCAAACTCTGCTTCATCTCCACCATATCGAAGTCTTCTCGCTTCTTCTCCCCCGTTTCGTCGATCATCAGCAGCTCCAGCTCCGCTTTCTCCTTCTCTTTCTGCTTCTCCTTCTCCGCATCCAGCTTCTCCTTCCGTTTCTCCTTCCTCGATTTCTTCCCCTTCTTCTCTTCCAGCCCCGCAAACAATTTCTCGTCCTCCTCCTTTTCTTCTTTTTCTTCTTCTTCTTCGATTTTCTTTCCTCTACTTCTCAAATCCTCCCTCCAACGCGCACTTCTCCTTCCGTTTCTCTCGCAGTCGCTTTCGATACTGATCATACACGCTCAGACTCTTCTCCTCCCTTTCCTTCTCCCTTTCCTTCTCCTTCTCCTCCAACGCCTTCGTCAAATTCGCCTTCAAACCCGGAATGAACGTTATATCCGCGTCTCCTTCCTCTTCTTCTTCTTCTTCTTCTTCTTCTTCGCTCTGCTCCTCTCCCTTCAGCAACGCTCTATACCGCTCCCTCACGCTTTCTCTCTATCCCTCACGGTCCCTCTCTGCTCCCACTTCGCCCTCCTCGTCCTCTTCTTCCTCGCTTTCATCCGACGACGCCAAATACTGCGAGTAATCGATCTCTCCCTTCTCGTTCTTCTTCGACGACCTTCCTTTCACCAGCTCGTTCTCGCGCCGCTTGTCCTCGCCGTCCCAACTCAGCTTCACGTTGCTGTGGCTGTTCACGTCGTTAAAACTCGTCACCGACGGCGCGTAGTTCTCCGGAACGAACGTCGCTCGCTCCTTCGCCGACGCACTGTCGAACTGCATGTCGTCCGGGATGAACCGCAGGTCCATCACGCTCCCCGTGCGCTGCGCTTCACTCCACTAAACACGCACCCCCACCATGAATTCCGTGCCATCCGTTTGGTCGTAGATCGATTGCGCCGTGAACTTGTTATCGCAGTCAATCACCGCGAAATAGTACCGAAGACGGTCCCGCTCGTATTTTCGAAGACCTGAAATGCATCATGCTTGATTCTCTCCTCCTACGGTCCTCGTTGATTTTTTCCTCGTCGTCCTCGACGTCGGATGCGTCATCCGAGAAGTCTGCCTGCGCATCCACGATGCGTCCTTCCGGACCGTATTTTTCTTCTTCCGCCTGGGTAAAAGAGGGGAGTTTCACCGTACCATGCGCTTTTTGCCGTATTCGGAAGGGTAGATGGTTACCGAGTAGACGGAGCCGCCTTGACAGAAGGAACGAACCACCGAGAGGATGTCGACAGCCTGAGTGTTACATACTTTTTTAAAGATTTGACGGAGATGATGTCCCAATTGAGATTGACGCAGGCAAGGCGGCGAGTGGCGTCTCCATCTTCAATCTACACAAAATCGATTCAAACAAAACCATTCCTACCACTTCTTCAGGCTCTTCGTCTTCGACTGCCTCTGCGTGTTCGCCTGCTTCTTCTACTTCCACTTGCTCCTTCGACTCGTTTAACAACTCCGAGTCCTCCTCATCACTTGAGCTCTCAGGCATTTCGATCTCTCCACGCGCCATTAACTAGGCAATTCACTAAACGATACAAAAATACTCGAAGCATAGCAAGATCGTTGGTCTCTTCATCTTCAAACGTTGTTGCTCCTACAACATAAATTACAAACTGCGTATTATACCATCGGCAGTTTTCTTTTGGAATTTGAAGCGATCATCAATCACCTCCTTTTTCTGTTCAGTTTTAATAGGTTTGAAACGCTATCAAGTTCAAAAGCATGCAAATGGCATACGGGATCATACGCTTTCTGTGAGAAACGCTCATCTTTCTCAATAGCCTTCTTCATGGCACGTTTTCTCGACTCCTTTGCTCCCTTGGTGGGTTTCGGCATGATACACTGAATAAAAGACGATTTCTGGCCTTAGAGCATAGGGAGTTTCGTTTCCAAATAAAGGGTTGCACACCAAAATCGTATAAAAGATTTGTAAATTATTCAGTAAAGTGACAAGGAGGCAAATGGGTGGCTTTATCAAAGTCAAGTACTTGAATGAAGGCAAAGGAACTATTTGGTGAAATATTTAATTATATTTGATTGATTCTATTACGAAGCAATGAGTTTCTTCGTTCCTTTTTCAACGAAGCAGGTTTGACAAGACTTCTTATTCTATCTCATAATATTGAACGAGAATGTTAAGAGAAATCATCGCTGCTCTCTTATTAGCGCTTCCGATGATATGTGCAGAAGACCTAACTGGTAGAGTTGTGTAAAGCGTGTAATCCTAGGATGTATCCAAAATGAAGTCGTGTGCTCTACTGTCGTAGGGCAGATATCCCTCACAGAGTGTACTCGTTATTTCCGCCAGTGTAATTATGGCGAGTGGGACGCCCCTCAGGAAGTGGCTATTGGAACCTACTGCTACCGTGGCGTGCAGGTGAACGCCGCTACGTGCAACCAGCGTGGTGGCAACGACTGCTCCTTCACGGGCATTCGTTGTGTGGATGGCGATGAGAACGTCATCACGACGCAGTGCACCAACTACTACCAAGAGTGCGAGAACGGAAAGACCACGAACATCATCGGCACGCAAGGTACGTTCTCTGTCTCTCTCTGACCCCAAGACGGCTACAGCTGCTACAACAACCAGCTCATTCTGTCTTCGGATTGTCCTTCGAACAGCTGCTCCTTCACCGGAGCCGCCTGCGTCACCAACGAGGGCCAAATCGTCAACGACGCCTACACCGACTACTACGTGACCTGCGAAGGGGGCGTTATTTCCTATCCCTTCCCCGTGGGACCTGGTGTGCAATGCTACAATGGCCGCGGCGTGCCGGACTCCGGTTTGGAGCCCCCCGCGGGAGATGGCACGTGCTCGTTCGATGGAATTCGGTGCATCTCGCCGACGGGCATCTTCACGGAGGACGTGTGCGTGGAACAGTATCGCCGCTGTGTGGACGGGGTTTTGTCGCCGGTGATGAAGGTGGACCAGGGCTTCATCTGCAGCACGGGCGAGATCCGCAGCTGCGTGAACTGCTTGTGTCTGGCGCCGATCCATCGGTGCAGCTTCGTGGGAATCCAGTGCGTGACGGAGTTCGGATTCGTCGCGGCGGAAGGCGAGGCCACGGACTATTATCGGGAGTGTCTGGACGGCTATTCGACGATTCCGCAGCGTCCTCCGCAGAACTACAAATGCAAGGATAAGGGCTTCGTGCTGGCCACGACCTGCGATGTGATTCTCCCCAACACGAAGTGCGATTTCTGCGATCTGCTCTGCGTGAATGCGGATGGAACGCGCAACGATTACTCCTGCACCGACAACTACGCCATGTGCGTCGACAGCACCGTCGCCATCGCTCCTGTCCCGCAGGGCTATCAGTGTCTCAAGGGAAAGCTCGTCTTCTCCGAGTTCTGCGAGCCCATCACCCCCACCACGCCTCCTCCAACCACCCAGCCCCCCACTACGCTGCCCCCTACCGAAGCGCCCACCACCGTACCGCCTACCCGACCCCCCACCACGCTTCCTCCCACCGAAACCCCCACCACCAAGCCTCCCACCAAAGCGCCCACCACTCAGCCTCCTACCGAAGCTCCTACCACCAAGCCTCCCACTGAAACGCCCACTGAAACGCCCACGGAACCGCCCACGAAAACGCCCACTGACGTTCCCACGGAGCCGCCCACGACGCGTCCTCCGCCGACGTGTCCTCCCACGCAGGGTCCCACCACGTCGGTGCCGCCCACGTTGCCGCCCTGCCCCACCACCACCATCCCCACCACGCTTCCGCCCTGTCCTCCCACGGACGACCCGCGCCCTACGCCCTGCCAGGACTGTCCGCCCGGCGCTACCGGCGCTACTGGACCCACTGGACCCACTGGAATGAAGGGACCCACCGGACCCACCGGACCCACCGGACCTTCTGGCGTGCGCGGCGATGTTGGTCCGACCGGACCCACTGGACCGCATGGACCTGAAGGACCCTCCGGTGAGCCGGGTCCGAGCGGAGAGCCTGGACCCTCGGGTGAGCCGGGAATGACTGGAATGACGGGTGTTACTGGACCGGAAGGACAGCAGGGCGTGCAGGGCGCGCGCGGAATGACCGGACCGACTGGACCGCAAGGACCCTCCGGTGAGCCGGGAGCGCAAGGTCCGTCAGGTGAGCCGGGTATTCAGGGAAGCGTGGGACCGACTGGACCGACTGGACCGACTGGACCGACCGGTCCTTCCGGTCCTTCGGGACCGCAGGGACCCTCTGGTGAGCCGGGAGCCACCGGTCCGGAAGGTCCTTCGGGTGAGCCGGGTCCACAGGGTGCGCAGGGACCCTCTGGTGAGCCTGGAGCGACGGGTATCACTGGAATCACCGGTATTACGGGTATTACTGGAGCGACGGGAGCGACGGGACCGGTAGGCTCGCTGGTGTTGGACCAGCGGATTCTGGAAGCCGATGCGTTCTCGATGAACAACAATCTGATGCTGGAGACCATTAACGGAACGGAGTATTTAGTGCTGCCCTCGACGATTAACAGCGACTTGGGTCTGTGCAGGGTGTCTCAGTAGGAATAGAGCGATGCAGTGAGGCGTAGAGTGACGGTGAACTTCCAGCAGAGACAGACGACGAGCACGCCGGCAACCCCCGTAACCCTGACGATCAACTGTGCGAACGGCTGTCCGCTTCAGACGGATGTGAGTTATTTCGGTAGGATGGCGCGAGGCAGTGGTAAGGATGTAGTGCTTCCATCGACCAACTTCTGCATCAATGCAATGATTACGTGGCAGTGTCAGAATCCAACGTCATCGGTAGTTGTACCCATGCGATGGGTGTGTTATGATTAATCTACAAAATTGTGCGTTGTTGCTTTCAACAAACAAGCCAACACGTTACTCTGGAGTACTTCTTTTCCCACACTATCGGAATGAGTTCCTCCATTTTTGCAGTCACTAAATGAGGCGGTAAATAAAACACTTTGTTCGTTAAGTCAATCATACGCTGAATGTTCCTATAGTCACTTTTGTTGATGATCCGAGTCTCCGAAATTCGACGATACACGACGCCCGATGCTCGACTCACCATCATATAATACGGTTTCCGGAACATAGGAGGGAAGATCTCCAGCACGGCACTTCCAGGCAGCATGAACACCACGGACGTGAGGCCTGCTCCGTGCACCGAAAACAAAATATCGATCGAAAACATGGAGATCACTTGCTCCGCAAACGACATTTGCTGACTCACCTGCCTCGTGAACTCCGTCTAGAAATCATTAAAAAACACACGGTTTGGAGATACCCCGTTCTGATTCTTCAGCAACTCGACGATTTCCTCAACGTTTTTGATCCCGCGGTTTGCTGTGTTTCGATCCACGAAACGGAGCGCGAGCTTGGACGGAGACGTGGTGGGAAGATAGGGTTTGTATCGCTTGTAAGCCAGCATTCGGATTTGATTCGCTTCCTTTTTGTCCAGGAAGCATTTGTCCATATCCGTAACAATCGGAATGATCACCTACACTCACAGAAACCCCCTTATCTTCTACGCCTTGCCGAGCGCATACGACGCTTCCTGCGTCTCTGTACTCCTTCTTCTCGAATAGGTGAGGCATCATATCCTTCCCATTCAATTCCTTTCGGAAGGTATCCAAAACGAGATCAAAGTAGTTTCGTCCAAATCGATAATGGAACTTAAAATCGTGTGTGTGGTGATTGATCCAATCAATATCCGGAAACAAAACAAGATTGTTCATCTATGAAGTGATTGGGAGAACAAACAGCGCCCACAGGAGGCAAATTCGAAGCATACATGGCATAACGAACGAGCTGGATGGCTGTTTCGGAGTGGTGGTACATGTTGTTCCAGCCTCGATTGATGATGACGTACAAGTTCTCGAGAATGGTTCGATTGGAAGGAATGTCTCCGTAGTGCACAAACACGCGGAGAGCGTGGCGATAGTTCGACACGTCGTGCGGAATCCGCAGTTTGGGCGTGCTCCTGTTTAGGTAAAGATAGTGTGTGTAATTGTTCGTGTAAATGTGTAATTGATTGGTGTTGTTTTCCAGACAGAAGTTCTCGCTGTACCACCAATTCAGCCGGGTGTGTGCCAACGTGCCTGGCATGGCGTACCGTTTCTTTTTCTCAAAAGTAGCCCATGGCGGCTGATGGCTAGGACTCAACACAACAAGAGCGACACAAACAGCTGAGCAGGAATGATTAACTTTCGATTCAAAACGTCTTTCGCTGAGGAAGTGATTGTGCCCTTCACGGTGTCACACGTCGTATTGCCCCATTCGTATCGAATTGAATTGACTGGAGGTGGTGGAAATAGTTCAGGGCGAATCACACTCCCATTACGGATGATTTCCTCAATGGAAACAAACGGATAGAACTTTTCTTCTTTCTTCTCTGCTGTAGTTTCACCACGAGTGTTCGTACTCCCTGTATCTACACATAATTCCATCGTAAAAAGACCAATACTGCTCGAATTGTTATCTGGTGTTTGCTGATAATCCGCTTGCCCATATTTTGAACTGGACTTCGCAAAACTAAATTTACTACTGTCGAGCATTCCAGAATTAATAAGATTCTTGTAAGTCTCTTGGTATTTGGGAACAACGTGGGAAATGACGTATCGCTTTTGATCTATCTAACACGGAATTCAGAAAGCAATACTTTGACTAATGATTGCGGTTTTTGGAATGATCTTGATTTTTATAAACAGCAACACAAACCATATTCCAACTAGAATGCAACACGCAAAGACTCTAGTTCTCATAACGAATAATAATACCCCAAACCCGAAAATAGATTGTTCTCGAACTATGGGAATTCCAGAAATCGGCTGTCAAACCATGATCGGGTTTTCGTGGTTGATTCTTATGGTCTTGTAAAAAGAGGTTTAAAACAATGGCTGACAAAGTTGAGTACGCTCCTGATTGCGAAACTGTCGAGAGTTCAAAGCTGAAGCTTCCTGATAAGGTTGTAACTGCTGTGGAGATTAAGTCTGGCGAAGAGGACGAGGATGTGGTGTTCCATGAGTACTAAATGAGTTTTTGTTGTTAGCGATATAGGCGCGCTCGTCTGTTTTTGTTCTATGAGGAAGATGTGTATGGAACTGAAGTCCGCAAGAACATCTGGAAGGAAAGAGGAACGGGAGAGGTCCGTATTTTAAAGCACAAGAAGGACAAGAAGGAGCGTATTGTCATGCGTCAAGAGAAGACTTTAAAGTTAATCTTAAACCACACTGTGAATCCCATGACTGTTCTTGTAGCCCGTGCACTCTTTCGATAAGTCGTAGAGAGAGAACTCTGGAAGCGACCGTGCCTGGAACTTCTTCTGCGAGGACTTCGCCGAGGGAGAAATCAAGAGTGGATATTACGCCATCCGTTTTAAAGATCACGATACTGCCATGTCCTTCAAGAAGGCCTTCGACGAGGCTCGCAAGGTGAACGCTGAGTGGGTGGCGTGAGTATTGAGATGATATGTAGAGTGTTTAATGTGGATGTGGATATGGAGACGGGTAAGCTGAAGTCTACGGACGCGACTTCGGAGAAGGTGACTGAGCCCGCTGCTGAGACTAAGAAGGAGGAATAAAAATAATGGCCCTGTTTGTTGTGAAATACCCACATTTTAGCACCAGTTGTCCCAATTAGTTAGGGTCACTATCATGTCTCCAAAGATTGTAGACTATCCAGGAGGAAAAAGTAGGTAGAGCATAAAGTTCTTCATGAAGACCCATGTCTGAATGATTACGCATGTCATTTTTGAGAATAGACAGATTTTTTAATCTTATATAGATGGTGCGCAAGGATGACGAATTTGATGACTTCGATGAGGAGGAGGTAGAGGAGGAAGAGGTGGAAGAAGAGGAGGTGGAAGAAGAGGAAGAGGAAGAGGAAGAGGAGGAGGAGCCTGAGGACGATCTTGAAGAAGTTGACATCGAGGAGATGGGAGTCCGTAACGAGTCCGAGGAAGAGGAGGAGGAGCGTGAGGATGTGTGGAAGAACGGACCTCATCCCGTGGACCAGGAAGTGAATCCTGAGAAGTGCTACATTCATTCATATACAAAGGAAGGAGTGGGCCGCTTCATGAAGAAGACCAAGCTGAAGATCACTTGGGAGCTTGTCATTGAGGGTGAGGAGCACACGATCGCCGTGTACCACAGCCAGCTCTCTGGAAAGAAGGTGGTTCTTCTTGATGGAGATACCGAGTACGAAGAGAACGAGTTCTTCGATGCTGGTTTGGATTTCACGTTCCCGTTCCGCATTGAGGGTCGTGAAGTGGCTGTGCTGATTTCGGATGCAACATTGGAGGGACGAATTGGTTGGGATTACGATATCCTGATTGACGGAGTCTCCCTCACCGAGTTGAACGAGAAGCGATCGATGGGTGCTAGCGGAAGTTACGAGGAGGATGAGGAGTTGTTCAACTAAAAGCTGTTGCTGTGATGTGTTTGTTTGAGATGCATCGAAAAGGAGAAAAGCTGAGTGAGTGAATGAGTGAGTGAACTGTTGTACAGTACAGTGAGGAAGACAGAAGCGCTTTTTGTGAAGGGCAGAATGGAATAAGAACCACATTTTTGTTGCGATGTTGCGAGCCACAAGGCCATGCCTGTTTCTTTTGTATTTTGCTGCTCGCGTCAACGTTGATACGTAGAGCAAGCCAATTCCGTTGTTTTGGAACTTCAATGGCAGCTGGCGCGAGAAAGAATCCTGGTCGTATTGTACCCTATCTGTCATTCGCTACTGATGCCATAGTACTATTCTCCGTTGCAAGCTGTTACGTGTGTGAGAAACAGCGCAAAGGCAAAGTTTGACGAGACTCTTGAAGTGGTGGCGAGTCTCAATGTTGATCCCACAAAGACAAACCAAATTGTAAGAGGAACCGTGATGGTAGTGTGAATTTTGGTTTTCTGAGCGAGTAGCTGCCTCACGGCAACGGCAAGCATCCTCGAATTGCTGTGTTTGCGGATGGCAAATACGCGGAGGATGCAAAGCAAGCCGGTGCGGACATCGTGGGTCTGGACGATTTAATCAGCGATATCAAGCAGGGTAAAATCGACTTCGACGTGGCCATCACCGCGCCTCGTTACATGCCGAAACTCGCCCCGGTCGCTCGCGTCCGTTCATTCCGCTTCCCCTCACCTCCAGATTCTCGGACCGAAAAAGCTCATGCCTTCTAGCAAGAACGGCACCGCCTCCTCCGACATCCCAACCGCCATCCGTGTATGCATGTCGTCGCGCGTTGTCTGTAGGACGCTCTGCGCGGGAAGCGCGAAATCAAGCCGGACAAGTCCGCAGCGATCCGCATGGGATTGGGCAAGCTCTCCTTCACCGACGAGCAGCTGCTGGACAATCTTCGCGAGTTCGTCGTTTGCAGTTTGACCACTTTTTGACCCGAAGATTCAGTTAAGCGCGATCAAGCCGCCAACCGCGAAGAACTTCATCCAGGCGGTTTGTCTGAGCTCCACGATGGGACCGGCGTTCTTCTTAGATCTTCGATTTGTAACGCCCGGGCGTTACTTTTTTAATGAGGAGCTGGCGGAGCAGGGAGTGGAGATCCCGATGAAGGAGGTGCGAATGTCGAGTCGAAAGAGGAAGGCGGAGAGAGAGAAGGCGAATGCAAGTGCGAGTGCGAATGCAAGTGCGAAGGAAATGGAAAGCGAAAAAGAGAAGGAGATGAAGTAATGGGTTTAGTGTTTTTTTGTTTGTTGGAATTGAAGATGGGGCTGTTTACGAATCAGGTACTCTTCAATACTTCGTGTGATAAAAGTGAGCAACGCAGTGCTGGCGCTTAGTTTGTAGAAGCAATGATCTTTTTGAACACGGATATGGGCACCAGCCTTTTCGAGTATGCTTTTTCCATTTTCGGTCAGCATATAGATATTTGTGGAGTACCACTTCCATTCACATAACAGCGGATGGTGCAGCCAATCGCCTCTATTCAATGTTTCCCGATAAACGAGAACGATACATCCCCGATTATATTATGGTGGGGTTTGAAGGTGAGAGCCTAATCGACAGGGAGACTTTGATTCAGCGAATGAAACTGTGCTTTCTTACTATGAAAGTCATGGAACCACAATTTTGAAAGACCCAAACCAGGATAATACAGACCTCGACAAATGTCTTTTGCATCTATCTGAAATATCCCGTGATGTAGTGCATGTTATTCTCCATGAGAGTTAGTTGCACGTTATTATCTACGGAGATCTGGGAGGTCGTTTTGATCATTCTTTTGGGATTGTAAACTCCATGATGATAGCGAAGGATTACTTTACGGATCTTGTACTCGTAGGTCCGAAGAGTACTCTGCGGATTCTGCCCGAGGGCTCGAATACAATTGAACGCTGTGCCGGAAAGAAACATAAGGATGGTTTCATTTGCGGCATCATTCCATTGGGTGGTTGGTTGTGTAATAATGTGAGCACTACTGGGTTGAAATGGAATCTGGATAATTCGACTATGCAGTTTGGAGGTATGATTAGTTCTTCAAACTGCATGATGAACGATTGTGTAACGATCGTAGCGCCATGTCCCCTCATTTGGACTCTTGAGGTCTTTTGGGAATTGGATTAAATGAACTGCTTGTTTGTTTGACATACTTTGTTCTGTTTCCCTCATGTCAGACTACGCACGGAATCGGATGAATCTACAAGCGAAGGTGGACCTTGTAACCGATATTCTATAAAGTATATCGAAGGGCATTCGACAGATCAAGTCCGGAATGATTCAGGAAGCAAAAGCTACACTTTACAGTGCAGCCAATGATGGTGTGACATATATGGAAAGAAACAAAAGTGGGTGTTAATTCCAGTTAGTCTATGTAGGTCTTCTTAGTGCAAAGGAATTGAGTGATATGAAAGCTTATTGTAGTTATATTATGAGCTTGATGAAACAGTTGGAACCGACTAGTAGATCTACTGTCCTATCTTCGTAGTTTAATTCATGGAACTGAATGATAGGAGTGTACCCGCTGTAAGAGAGCGGATATCTGCCTCGCAGCGTGGTTCTTCCCAAATCTCACGAAGTTTGCCTACTCAATCGGCACAATCCTGTTCTCTATCGCAATCGACAAGAGCTTCCGTAGTTTCTCGTCCTGTTCGACCTTCTTCCTCTACCTCATCCCTTTCCTCATCCGTTTCTCTTTCAAATTCGACCCGTCAGCCTATCTCACGTTCCCAAAGCACGTCCCTATCCAACAGTTTGTGTCGACCCTCGAAACCTCTTCCCGCCGTTCCTCGTCCACCCACTTCCACAAAACCTCCTCTTTCTACCAACGTTTCTCTTTCGATGTCTTCCACCCCTTCCAAACCCAATCTCTTATCCTTATCGTTAAAGCAAGTAAATTATGAGTACCCATTTCGAAACCGTATCACCTAGTCCCGAAGACCCATACGAGAAAACGGTGGTGGAAAGCATTCTCGATAAATCACCCAGTGTGAAATGGAACGATCTAGCAGGACTTTCCTATGCCAAAAAAGTGCTTTACGAAGTTCCCGCCCTTTTTCGTGTTTTTGATTTTTAGTCCGTAATTCTTCCCAATCAACGACCCGACCTTTTTACGGGGTTGCGAGCCCCTCCCAAGGGGATTTTGCTTTTTGGACCTCCAGGAACGGGGAAAACGATGATCGGGAAAGCTGTGGCGACCGAGTCAAAGGCTCTGTTTTTCAGCGTGTCTTCGTCTACACTGACGAGTAAATGGGTAGGAGAGAGCGAGAAGATCGTCCGCGCTTTGTTTGCGTATGAAAGGAATCGAAGTGTTCATGACACAGAGTGGCTTCTAAAAACCAGCCGGCGATCATTTTTATCGACGAAATCGACTCGATTTTGACAGCACGAAGGTAACACCTAGCAACCGAAGCAGGATTTGATGATGTAGTGAGAACGAGAACGAGGGAAGCCGCCGATTAAAAACAGAGTTTATGATTCAGTTGGATGGGGCAACAACGAACGGGTAGAGCAAGGAGAGCGCGATGATGAGGGATAGAGAGGAGCGAGTTTTGATCATCGGAGCGACAAATCGTCCGTTTGAACTGGACGATGCGGTGATTCGCCGACTCTCCCGTCGTATTTATGTATTGTTTTGCATTACGAAACTCACGCAAGATCCCTTTACCTGACAAACAAACTCGATTTGAATTGCTTACGATTCTTTTAAAAGGCCAAAACGTAAATCTTTCCGAAGAGGACGTTTCCCGCATCTTAGAACTCACAGCACATTACAGCGGATCCGATTTGAAAGTGCTGTGCAAAGAAGCAGCCATGGGTCCTGTAGATGGCTCTGCGCCCCGATCTGATGGATAGATTCGTGAAGTGAAGGATTTGCTGCACGTGAAGGCGAATCGAATTCGACCGATTGCGTTGAAGGATTTCGAAGAGGCGTTGCAGACGGTAGGCGTAGTGGAGGAAGTGTGAGCGGAAGTGTGCTCCTTCGGTGAATCCTGCGTCATTGCAGCAGTTTATCGACTGGAATAAGTGGGACTTGGGATTGAGGGATCATTTGGTAGAGAGTTTGGTTCAAAGGGTCAGAAGGACGAGGACAGCAGTTTCCGTCCTAGAGCCATTCGAAATCGTTGCTCGTTTTGTGTTTGTTTGAAAGTGTTTTAGATTATTGTTTAGTATATGGGTTGTAATCATTCAAAAGTGAGCAACGAAATTGTTTCGGGCTCCTATGATAAAGAATCGAGTAACGGATGCATGTTTCGTGAATTCAAGGTGAACCTAATTACCCCATTTTTTTACAACCACAAACACATGAGAAGGAAAATACCGAAATTATCAAGGCTCCTCGTGCATCGAGTAGCGTTAGTGACATTATGTGTGGTGTTTCTAACGCTGTGTACCGTAAAGAGTATAAAAAGGGTTGTGTGAATTGATTGAGATAGGTATATTCAAAGTATATACGCCTTCACTTCGGAAGAACTCGGTTCTGGCGTATCCGGGACTGTACGCGTGGCAATTGATAGGTACATTGCATGAATATTGTTGAAACGACTAGAGCAACAGGCGAGCGCTATGCATTAAAAACGATCAACCTCGTGGGTTTATCACCAGCTATGCATGAACGTGTCGTGAATGAGTCTCTAATTTTAGCACGAATGCATCATCAAAACATCGTCAAACTCTACGAGATCTACGAGTCAGATTCCGCCGTGTACTTGATTATGGAACTGCTCTCTGGCGGGGAGCTATTCAGCCGTCTCATGCTCCAACCGGGTAAATATTGGATCTAAAGGCGATTACCACACAGAGCACAAATTTTCGGAAGAGTACGCATGTTCGATCGTGAATGATATGCTCAACGCGATCTGCTACCTCCACAACGTCAAGAACATTGCCCACCGCGATCTCAAGTACTTTTCTTCGTTCCCTCCCCTGAATCATGCAGACTCAGCAATGTCATGTTTTCGGACAAATCTCCGAACGCTGAACTGAAACTCATCGACTTTGGGCTCTCCAAAGTATTTTTTTGTGCATTTCCCTCCTTCCCTCCAGATCCTCACAGCCAACCAATATGCCCACAGCGTGGTCGGTACTCGCAACTACATCGCTCCCGAGGTGTACATGCGCGACTACCAAGGCTCCGGCTACACCAAGGCCTGCGACATGTGGTCTCTCGGCATCATTTGTTATTTCCTGCTCACCGGCCGAAATCCTCTTCCCTCCCAGCCCTGCACCGGTCCTCTCCAGCAGCTCTCCGGCAAGATCCCTTATCCCCGGAAATACTGGAATTCCATTTCTCCGGAGGCCAAACAATTCGTCGAGGGCCTTCTTCAGTTCGACCCCGCAAAGCGGCTCACTGGTCGGGTTCCCGCGGTTTTTTTCATGTAGCATCGCAGGCGCAGGCGCATCCCTGGCTCCGGCGGCAGTATCCCGCGGTTCCGAAGCAGTTCCCCGCGAGTCTCGTGCAGAACCTGCAGGCGTTTCAGGGGTTCAACCGGCTGAAAAAGGCGGCGATGACCGCGGTGGCGTACCATCTGAACAGCGTGGGCGATCCCCGCGGGGATGACGGGTAGAAGGAGCTGCGGCAGCTGGAGGCGGCGTTCGAATTCTTCGACAAGGACAACACGGGAACCATCAGCATGGAGGAGTTCCGACAGGCGATTTCGCGGTTATCGCAGTTTTCGGGCGGGGCCAATGGGGCCAATGGGGCCAATAGGCCGAAGGGGTCAATTGGGTCAATTGGGTCAATTGGGTCAATTGGGTCAATTGGGTCAGATGGGCCCAATGGGTCAGATGGGCCCAATGGAGGTGTAAATGGGGCCAATGGAGGTGTAAATGGGGCCAATGGGTCCAATGGGCCAAATGGGTCCGATGGTCCCAGAGGCCTGTTCAATAGGGTCACGAAGTTCGCGAGGTCCAATCGGTCCATCGGGACATATGGGGCCAATGGGACGTCTTTTGCCGCGGGGAACCCTGCGTACGAAGCGATCTCGACGCTGAATTCGAACGAGAAAATGCTGATCGCCTTGTTCGAAGGAATCGATTTCAACCACACGGGAACCATCGATTATTCCGAGTTTTTGGCGGCGTGTTTGGCGCGAAAAGAAGGCATGAAACGCGAATACGCAGAGCTGATTTTTGACCTGTGAAGATGATTGGTCGGTTTCATGTAGGGTGGATCGCGAACACCGCGGGAAAATCTCCGTGGAGGACCTGCACGTGTTTTTCGGTGAGAGCATTCCCGTGGGAATTGGCCGGGTTTTGGCATCGTAGATCGAGGAAATCGAAGCGATTATTCAGCGAACTTTCGGAGAGAAACGCGATGAATTGACGCAGCCCGATCTGGAACGAATCATGAACACGAAGGTGAGAATAACCGCGGGGTAGCATGTAGATGATTACGAATGAAACCACGGCGGAAGCAGTGGATCAGCATAATGTATTGGCAGAAGTTCCGCTGACCACCAATTCGATGCTCCATTCGATTTTCAATGATTTCAAGGAGGCGAAGACGCCCGAACCGTCCAAGAATTCGAAGAGTTCTAGTGCCGAAAAAATAGAAACCGTAGAAACAGAGGAAACTGTGGAAACCGAGGAAACCGAGGAAACCGAGAAGAATACAACTGATAATCCGAAGAATTCGAAGAACTCGACGCCATCACCAGAGTCCAATCCGATCCGAACTTCGCCGAATTCGAAATCCGAAACGCCGAATTCGAAAGAACTCACTCCGATGAACTCGAAGAGTTTGGATACTTCGCGGAGTTTGAAGTCGGAAACACCGGATATGACGAGTTCGATTAAAGCTCCCGAGCCTTATAGCTATGAAAATACGCCGACGGACGAGCTGGCGATGCGAAGGTTTTCTAGTTTACACTTTACTTAAATGTACTCTGGATTGTTTGTTGTGGAAAGTAAACGACTTGAAACAGAAATGAGTAGAATTGAAATGGGGTGTGAGTGAATGATGATCAGAATGTGATGTTTAAATAGGTTAGCGAAGAGCAATAAAATGAGAACGGCCATATCTGATGGAAAGCGCCCTAACCCGTCCGATCTAGGAAGCTAAGTCATCACGAGTCGAGTTAGTACCAGTGTGGGTGACTCGCTGAGAAGTCTCGATGCTGTTCTTTTACACTATTCTATTCTATTTTTTACTTTTCCTTTTTATTCCTCTCCTTTCCTCTTTTCTCCACTCCATTCCACTCATCTCCACTTCAGGAGGGCGCATGCGACCTCTTCGGCGAATGGAAGAACATGAACAACCCTGCTTCTGTCCCGCAAACGCTTGTTCCCATCACGCCCCATCTGGCCACCTCCATTTCCACCTTCACCTGCAGCGAGGGACACGTGATCGAGCGTGCCTGCACGGCGGGTGTGGGGTCGGCTGTGGATTGGTCGGGTCGGTCTGCGGTTTGGGCTTGGGGTGCGTGACGGACGGGGCGTTCCCCGCGGTTCTGTATGCGGTGTGTGTGGAATCAGGCGGAGGGCATTGAGTGGGACTGTGCGATGGCGATTACCGGATCCTTCCATGATCTCTGCACCGCCACGTGCGAGCTTCGCACTCCCGCCACTTCCTCCTTCCTCCTTCCGCCGAACCGTCTGGTTCCCCGCGGGACGCGATGTGTGGGACGTGTTGGAGGGTGGGATCCCCGCGACTTCCTACACGCTGGAGTGCGTCCCGAGCGAAGTGGGCAGTGCCGAGTGGATGGGCAGGCAATTCGGAGTGTCCACGATGGCCACGTCGGAATTCGTTGGGTGTTGGTGGTGGACGGCGAGCCAACCTCCTCGCTCACCGGTTCGCTCTGGGTGTGGGTGTGGGTGTGAGTGAGCAGGAATCTGGTGGGCGATGGGGTGGGGTCCGTGGCTCCCTACGAAGGTGTGCAGAGTCGACCGGGCTCTCTGGATCTCTTCCTGTCCAACTGGGCGCAGAACGCCACCGTGGTCTCCGTCACACAGCCCCTCCGCCTCCGCCTCCGCCTCCGCCTCCGCTTCCTCTTCCTCTTCGCCTACGACGTGACCGGCGCGCTCATCCGCGCCCACCTCGTCGATCACGCCTGGTGCGCCGTGGGTCGCGATGTTTCCACGTTTCCACGATCCAGACCGATTTGGCAGTTGCTGAGAGAAAGAAAGAGAGAAATGGTTGCGATGTTTGGTTTGGAAGATGGATGGATGGATGGATGGATGGAATTGTAGAGATGTGGAATGGTTGAAGCGTTGTAGGATTTGAATGAGAATCGAAAATGTGTTTAGGAAGGAAAGAAGGAAAATGTAGATTTAGAGTGTGTAGGGTGTTGGAATGATTTAGAAACATGAACAGAATAATCCAGAACGAGGAACCAAACGACTCTAGTTGATAATAACAATAGAGTGCTGTGAGTTGATGGTTGATTTGTTAGCATTGTGCTAATAAATCTACTGCATCTACCGAGAACATATTGTTTTAGAACACAGCAACAATCCATAATTGTAATATCTCAATGACTTTCTACTGTTACCACTCATTACATAAGCGAAATAATGGATTGAAAAGAGGATTGGAATTCCATCGTATTTGAATGACATGTTCGAGTGTGGTTGAGCATTGTTGGGGAGATCAAATAAAGTAGGGCTTAGCAAAACGAAAGGCTCATCTAGCCAAACCTCTACTTCCAACACCAAGATGCAACCCACACAACAGAGTAGCCAAGTGTGAAAAGTGATTTCTTGCTTTTCGATTGATTCCACACACCGTCATTTCTATTCTCTAGATATTGAATGAATAGCTATCAATCCAAATGAAAACAATGAATAACTAACTGATTGGGTTGTTTGTGGAAGATGATGCACATCATAATTATCAATGTGTGCATGTTACACAACGACAGACTGAGCTGTAGAATGAGTTTACTGATAGTAGGAAGAAATGTGATTATTACTGTTTCAAAGATAATAGGAATTCGATTATAAGCACGAATCAAACGTATTGACTCTGTAGAGACATAATTTAGAAGTGATACACACTGAGGGAAAGCAGGTGACAAATTATGTCAAATCTATGCACAATCAATACGAATACCTATAATTATAAACTATGAACATTATACAAATCAAAATATATGTAGAAATAAAACTGGAAGACAATTGGTCATAGAAACAATGAAAATAATATATATTACGTATAGAAAACCAATTCATTTGATACTAGCATGGATAGCACACATAATCTTGGTCAACACCAGAAAAAGGCTGTTTTCTACAGTTTATATGAACAATTTTCTAGTCTAGAAATATAAGATGAGTGTAGATGTGGAATTTATGGAAAATACACGAAGTCCATTTGGAACCAACAAAACCTACAATTTGGACATTTTCCTGACATTATAGGCAATTCCTTCGAAGCAAATCGAAAGTGACTTAACCAGTTGGATCGACAGCCAAAGTAAAACTATTCTTGAGCCCTATTATTTCGGTGGATTATATTGAGATAGCGAAATACACTACTGAAACTGTTTTCTACTGTACTCCTTTAGAACTAGCTACAAAGCTCTGATAGCACCAATAATAGTGTTGTAAGCACAGAATAGCTTAGGAAATCTTGTTTCAAAGACACTCTATTCTCATGTGTTCAGGAAAACAAAAACACATTCCAAATAGCGTTCTTCACTTCTCATATAATGGTGTAGGCTATTAAAGAGTGTGAATACCCAACCAAAAATAACAAAGCTTCCCAAAATAAACAATGGAATGTGTTTTGGAATTGCAATGATTCGACATATTTCCTATCGAATGCTCCACCACTCAATTGATAATGGTTCATTTTTGAATATTCACTTTGAAAATAGCAAGACATATTTGATAGAAGAAATATGAAAAATCGAGAAGCAAATAGAACTACTTTTGTTGGAATTTAAGAAGCAGGCATTTCTGGCTCAACTTACACCATGTATACATACTCCTAAATTTCCAATAGAAAAATAGAATTGTGTTTCGGTGATATTTAAACTGGATATTAAACTGAGTGTGCTTTTGGATTTTCTCATAATTTTTTTTATTTTGGTCAAATAAAATGGTTGGGGAATGTATTGTGTTATCTTCCATGCTAATGAATAGTCTATTTGACTGAAGTTCGTTTCACCGAGTATCTTCTGGACGGATACGGTACGCTCGGCCACCCTGAAACCCTGGTCAAGGGTGGAATCAAATACACTGTTCAGCGATTCCAGGGAAAGCACAAGAACGAATTTCTATTGCGCTCCGAAACTGGTGATGTGTATCTGTTTGAAAATAACGTACTGAAACAAGAATGGAAGGAGGACGAGAATGGGAAGAAATCGGAGGAGTTTATTCGATACAAGAATGGTCGAGCCGATTTCAGTCAGCGATTCGAGTATATTTTGGAACATATGAACAACAAACGTTTTGTTTACCACAAGAAAGGACTTCGAATGGAAATCTGGTCAGTCCAAACGGGACATTTGCTGTATCACGGAGGGTACAACGAAAGACGAATGAAAGAAGGCTGGGGCATCGAATACGATGAAGAAAGCGGAAATGTGGCTGTGGAAGGGATGTGGAGCAAAGGAGTATTGAAAGAAGTGATTCGATGTTTCAATGGAGATACGATGACCGAATTGAAGCGAAACGGAGCAGATAGCTTGGATCCAACGAAACGAATTCCGATCTATGTGGGTGGATTTCGCTATGATGAAGACAATGAACGATTTATTCGTGAAGGGAAAGGATGTCTGATTGATGAAAAGACTGGAATGGCAACTCGAGAATGTGAATGGAAAGATGGAGCAGAAGTGAGTGGAGTGGATCTGACTGATGGATGGTACGATCCAAAATTGAGGTAGGGTTTATCAACAGCCATGATTCCTAGACCTGATTCTGTGCCTGCTCCTGCTCCTGCTCCAAAACGCGAAGAACCTGGTCCTCTTCGATTCAGCGTCACTGGATCTACAAAATGGACCGATGTGAGTTTGCAAGTGACCGATTTAACGATTTCATCGAATTGCTGTAACGATTTGAATGCATTGGATCTGAATCGATTCGAGTGGCTACGATCTATCGAAATCGGCAATGAATGTTTTGGATCAGTGCAAACATTCCAAATCGATGGATTGAATCGATTGAAAACTATCAAAATCGGAAACAATGCATTTAATCTATTGGCCACTTCTTTCTTAAGTAATCCTCATTCTACATCAGAATGGATGGAGAATAGTGATAAATCGAAATCATTCCACATATTGAATTGTGAATCATTGGAATCCATTCAAATTGGTCAGTTTAGTTTTGGTGATTATGCTGGCGACTTTGAATTGAAGAATCTACCACAATTACAATCCATTCAAATTGGTACAATTGATACAATTAAAAGTTGGTCAACTAATTTTTATGGC